GAACTTGTAAGAGCCTCCTTGTGGCACTCAAGACATGGACTTCCGAGTACAGTTTAAAGAACTTAGAATAATGATACTCAAAGTATGACCACCTGCTTGTAATACTTTGTGCTTCTGTGTCACCAGGGTATTGTGATAAAAATGTAAAATCCAGGGCTCTCTTTGCACCAACTGAGTCAGAATCACTGGGGTAGAGAGTCCAGGAATCTACAATTTTAACAAGCATCCCTGGTGATTCTTAAGCACACAGTAAAAATTGAGAACATTTGCCATAGAACAGTCACTCTCAACCTAGGTGCTCATTAGAAACATGGGGAGGGGCACATTTAAAAGATAACAATGCTTGGACATGGACCTAATGGTTTGACGTGTGGCCATGGATGTTAGGGGGTGGCTGTAATGTGCAGCCAGACTGAGAAGCTGTGATATTAGAAGATGATTAGTGAAGGTGATTGTCCACATATCGGGTCTAGTAATAATTAATGTCGTTTTAAAACATTCGTTTAAAATCTTGCTTGGCGTTGACTTGTATTGACATAACCTTCAAACACGTGGTATCTACAGAACGTGTGAAGTGCAGTTAACAAGTTTTGCTTGAAAAAGTTTGTGTTTGGTTTGGTTTTTGTTGCAAAACTAGGGCTAAGAAGATGGCGGATGAAGAGCATATTCGGCACTGCATGCTTTACGAGTTCCAATTAGGAAGAAAAGCAAGTGAGGCTGCAAAAAACACCTGTAGTGCTCTTGGTCAAGATGCAGTTAGCACCAGAAAATGCCAGCGTTGGTTTGAGAAATTTCGCGAGGGAAATTTTTCGTTAGATGACAAGAGTGGTCGAGGCCGTGTGTCCAATTTTGATCAAGAAGCTCTTCAAGCTCTTTTGGTGCAAAATCCTCAAATTACCCAACAAGAGCTTGCGACAACTTTAAATTGTTCACAAAAAACAATTTCCAATCAATTGCGTGCACTTGGCAAAGTCCAAAAGTTTGGAAAATGGGTTCCTCATGAGTTGACCGACAACAACCGTAATCAAAGAGTCACAATTTGCAGTTCGCTCCTCTCTCGTCAAAACTGTTTGCTGTTTTTAGAGCAAATTGTTACCGGAGATGAAAAATGGGTGCTGTATGTTAATTTGAAAAGGCGGCCTCAATGGTTGGACCAAAATGAGGCTCTGCAGCCCACGCCAAAACCTGACTTGCATGCGAAAAAAGTGATGTTGTGTGTTTGGTGGAATTTTAAAGGAATTCTTCATTATGAACTTTTACCATCTAACCAAACCATTACAAGTGCAGTGTATAGTGCCCAATTGGAAAGGTTAGCCCAAGCTTTAAGAGAAAAAGAACCTGCGCTGATTAATCGGAAGGGCGTAATTCTTCACCACGATAATGCACGACCGCATACTGCAAGAATCACTGCTGAAAAACTGTGCCAGTTGGAATGGGAAGTTCTCCCTCAACCTGTATATTCTCCTGATATTGCCCCTTCCGATTACCATTTGTTTCGTTCTTTGCAAAACTTTCTTCTTGGAAAAAAAGTTAATAATGAAGAATGCCTCAAAAATGCATTGACCGAATCTTTTGCATCAAAATCACAAGAATTTTACAATAGAGGGATTAAAATGCTTCCTGAGCGTTGGGCACAAGTAGTAGAAAACGATGGCAACTATATTGTTGATTAAATTTTGTTGTATTGTTTAAATAAATTCGATTGTTTAAATAAATTTCTAATACTTAAGAAAGTATTAGAAAATGACATTAATTATTACTAGACCTAATATGTTAGGTGTTGGCATAAGAATGTCCAAACCTGTAGAGAATTTTTATAAAAATATATTTGAACCAAACAGGATACACCTGGAAGCAAGATCACCACAGACAAAAACACTAAAAATGCTTCCTTGTATGCAGGGGATTTAAAGAAGATTATAAGAAGGTGGGAGGAGGCAAGACTGGGATTACAGTACAGGAAAGTTAAGGATTATGTGCTCACTTGAGGGTGGTTTTGCCTGAAGGATCCGAAAAGGGGTGTTTGAAAGGGGTGTTAACCTAGATGCACAGAAACAATGGACAGGAATTGCTTGAGGCAAAGATCAGTCTTTTACTAAGGAGGTTGATGTGCCTGACCTGCCTGGTGAAGAATTTATGATCAGGTCACCCTGTAAGGTTACTTTTCACAGAACCCCTTTTTCTGTCACAGAGGAATGCAAGTGGACTCGGTATTTTCTAACAGTCATCCTGGTGTTTACCAGGGCCCGGGGAGAAGGTAGGAATGGGGAATTGTTGCTTAAAGGCCATAGAGTGTGTTTGGACAGAGTTCTGGAAATGGATGCTTATGATGGTTGTGTACATTCTGAATGTACTTGATACAACTGAATTATACACTTTAAAATGATTTAAATGGTAAGTTTAATGATGACGGCAATAAAATGTACTTTTTAAAAAGCCATCCTAATTCTCACATTTCTTTTCGTTTTTCCCCCTTTCCTTTTTGCAGTGACAGCGTACCATGCATGCCACTAATTCCAGGGGACGCTCCCCTGCTTTCCTGCAACCTCAGAATGGAAATGGCCATCGCTCCTCGGGCTATGTTCCAGGGAAGATTGTCCCACTGCGCCCCCCTCCTCCTCCAAAGAGCCAAGCTTCAGCCAAATGTCCCTCCGTCAGACAGGAGACCCGGGCCAGCTTTGCTTTCTCACCTGAAGAGCAGCAAGCCCAAGGAGGAAGCCAAAAGCAGAAGAGGCACAAAAATACTTTCATTTGCTTTGCTGTCACTAGTTTCTCATTTTTTGTTGCACTTGCAGTCATTTTAGGAATATCCTCAAAATACGCTCCAGACGGTAAGTTCGTGTGTGTGTGTGTGTGTGTGTGTGTGTGTGTATACACGCATGTGCGTGTGCGTGTGCACTTACGGAACATATCCTAGAAGAAGAAAGAAGGAAGAAAACAGGAGAATATGGTTAAAATGCTTATCTTTTATCTTAAGTTGGCTCTAGAAAACTAATATGTAAGTAGTTAATATAAGGTGTAACCTGAATGAGAGCAATTGTCAAAGGAATCCATGGAAATGATAAAATTAAAGGATGGCTCTTTCTTCCCCTTTTGTCACTTTGTCCCAGTGCTCACATTCTTGGGTATTTCTTTTTGAAATGGTAATTTTAAGAATCTTTATTGAATTCTTATGGTAACAAATTTCATCCTTTGTGGGAGATAGGCCTTCATTTGTTTTTAGTGATGAAGATCACTAATTGGAATGATAAACTGTGTTTGATTTTTTTTTTTTTTTTTAATATAAGTGAAGGCCCTGGTGAGTGGGTTGGAGCGTCATCTTCTTGGGCCAAGGTTGAAAGTTTGATCCCTGATCCGGGCACATACAAGAATCAACCAATGGAACACAAATCGATGTTTCTCTCTCTTTCTCTTCCTTCCTCTCTCTTGTTCTCTAAAATGAGTAAATAAAAATTAAAAATATACATACATATATGTGTAAATAATTAAATAAATAAAATTTAAAAATATACATACATATATATGAAAATAATTTTAAAACGCGGTTTGCAACTGGCTGGGGAACTATTCGAAAAGAGAAGTCTCAATCATTTTTGAGGAACAATGTCTACCCTAAAAGGAAAACATCCATTAGGAGGTGTGATTTCTGAAATATTTGTCTAGAAGAATCACTCATTACTTCATAGTTAAAGGTCATATAGGGAGTTTTTAATTTCTTAAAGGCCTTTGCTTTCCAAGTTGGTAATATATTAATATTTTGGGTGATTTTGAAGAAGTTCATTGTCAGTCAGCCTAAATACTATACCAACGAAGAACGGCCTCATGACTGAATCCATCCATCCGTGTGAAAATCAGAGGGCTCTGTGGGATAAGAAGCAGATATAGCAGCCTGGACTGGGCACCATAGTTATCTGGATTTTTTAGTCTGCAACATATTTTTGTCAAATTAGTTGGCTATAACATTTGAGAAGCATTTTACCACTTAAAAGACTTACAAATATTTTGTTTAGTGTCCATAGGTGATTTAGAGGTTTATAGACTTTAAGGTTCTGGGGAGAGGTATGTCAATACTTCTAAGTAGACCTGACTAGGAGAGATATTCATATCAACATCTTTGTTGACCATGCCCTTAGACTGACCACATTAGGAACTTGTAATGTTGCTTTTCATTGCACATGGCATTGATTTTCCTTCCCTTTTCTCCAGCACAATAACCAAGATCACTGCTGTTGATTTATTCTTTCTAAGTAATTTGCAGTAAAGAGATGCTAGGTTAGTGGAAAATCAGCTGAAATTTGTGGCTTTAACTGATGTTTTCATATTCCATTTCAGGCAGTGAATTGCTGATGTGGTTCCTTGAATCAACATTCTCTAGTTTCATATTTTGGCAGAATAAGTGCAGAATATCAGTGGAAAGATCTGGTATGCTGAAGTATTTCAGCGTCAGCCGCACTGTGGTTGTTGTTCTTACATAACTTTGATAATGCACCCACTGCTCAACAGTGGGTAGCCAGGAAGATGGGGCAGTCCGAGCTATTTTTCAGTGCTTTCTGCAGACCACACACTTTCTCATTAAATAAACGTTACTGGAAGGAAACAGCCTGGAGTTTTTGTTGATGGTTCCAATGAAGCATGCTCTCCTGGGGAATCATTATAAACAATTAAGGAGAATTATGTAACGATTGTAGTAACCTCTAGATATCAAGACTGGATTTCCTTCTCCATAGCTGGGTACAGTGTTGTTACATGGGACATGCATTCGTATCTGATAGAACATTTTGGAGAATTCCAGCTAGATGTTCTATGGCAAGAGAGGGAGGTAGAAGAAAAGTTGAAGAGATCTTCAATATTAAGTTAGAACACATTCAAAAAATTTCTTGTGTCCTCCATGGGAAGGAAAGTTTAGAATTATTCTCAATATAATAGTGATGATCACTGATTTACCAGAATTAAATATCAGTGATTATGAAGCTGCTATGAGAAAAAAAATTAATTCCATGAAATAATTGTCAAGGTCTTAACTGGTGGGACTAATAATAGCTTGGAGGGCTGTGGGCTCATTACTGTGTGTGTGTGTGTGTGTGTGTGTGTGTGTGTGTCCATGTATAAATTTTACAGTATCTAGTATAGAGTGGACAAATGGATCCTCAATAAATACGGTCATTAGTTAATCCAAATTGTTGTGATATCCCCCGCTGCCCCTTCTTTCAAATTATAGCAGAAAGTAAAGGTCTCATGCATTAAATACCTGTAGCATTACGGAATACCTTTATGTTTCAGGAGGCAAATTCTCATTTAGTAAAGGGCTACAGGAAGTAAAGTAAACCTTGTTTCTTAAAGGGGAACTTTCTTATTATCACTCAACATGCTGAGTAATCTTGGGTTTGGCTTCTCTGATCTATGGTTTTCTCCCCTCTGAAAATGAGAAGTCATGCCGTTGGCTATTTGCCTCGCAGCTTTGTTGGGAAAGAGTGGTACACGTCTAAAGATAGCGGTACTTACCAGCTGTTGCCTTGGGAGTGGAAGAGGTGCTGTTATCACTTACTAATAACTCACTGGGCACAGGAAAGAACTTGGGAAGACCTACTATATATATTGCTTAGCAGTGTCCATTTTTTATTTACTAGTATGTTTGTTATGAACATATTTTCTTTTCTAAACTTGGGCCCAAGGACAATTCAGTTTTGCCTCTTCCTGTTATTGTATTTCCAGATTAGATGATTCAGGAGAATTTCATTTTGATTTTGTGAATTTGATGGGAGCAAGTTAGCTTTGTGGTGAGACCTTTTTCCTGAATGGAGGAAGTAAAAGATTTGGTGTATCTCTGCTGGGTGGGAAGGGGTGGGGTCTCCATCCTTTGACAAGAAATTAAAAGATGTCAGCCCATTAATTTCAGATCGCAATACATGATGGTAGTGCTTTGATTTGGCTAAAGGTGTCCTCCCATTTTGTTGGGCTGATGGGATATGGATGTTGCATTTTTGTCTTACAGAGAATTGCCCCGATCAAAACCCTCGTCTTAGGAACTGGGATCCCGGACAAGATTCTGCAAAGCAAGTTGTTATCAAGGAGGGAGATATGTTCCGTCTGACCTCAGATGCCACAGTGAATTCTATAGTCATTCAGGATGGAGGCGAGTAATGGTTCCTGTCTGTGGGAACAGCTTGATGTTTACTATGGGGCACGTTTGATGTTCTTCCTATAGAAACCGCCAGTAGCCTTTGGGATATGGTGTTACTCTAACCACGGAGACATGCAAAGTTCCTAAGATAGAATAAGGTGACAAGATGTCCCGCTTTTGGCGGGACAGTCCAATTTTTAACAATTTGTCCCACGTCCTGAGGTGTTTTAAAGAAAATCCCAGTTTTTGGAAAGAATGCACGACAATCTAGGGAACGGCAGGAGAACGGGAAGGGAATATGCGGTTTTTGGTGGCCATGGGGCTATTTAGCCAGGATATGAGTTTTATATTACTTTTGTTAATTTTATAATGTTAAATTTTAATAATAACAAATAATTATTGAGAACTGATTATCGAGAACTGCTTATCAAAGTTTGCATTGTTGATTATTTGTTAGAATTCACTCAAATGAGAAATATGCCAAAGAATAAAATAATACTATACATAATTTTTTTATTTATTTGGAAATTGTACTTATGTTGAAACTTTAAAAAATATATTACAATACTATTTTTTGTGTTCTATGAACATTTTTGTTGCTCCATATTTTAATCAACCCCCTCGCCCCCCATGGTGTCCCACTTTACCAGTGTTAAAATCTGGTCACCTTAGAGGTAGAACCATAGAGTTCAAGAGCTAGAAGGGCCTTAAAAATCTCTCAAGTCAACACCCTCGATTTATAGAAAAGGAAACAGCTCCAGAAGGTGAATTCTCATAGCCAAATCTTTGTTACAGCTGTGGAGAGTAATGAGAAAGTTAACATGGAAAAGTGAGATTCAGATTTGTAGGCTCTTTGGTACTATTCTGGAAAAGATTGACCTCCAAAAGGAATGGGTTGAAACTCTTAAACATGGGCATTTAAATTTTTAATTTAATTTAATTTTCATTTCTTTATTGACTAAGGTATCAGATATTTGTCCTCATCCCCTCATTCCCATCCCAAACCCCTCCGCACACATGCCCCCACCCCCTTGTTGTGCATGACCACTGGTGAGGCTTATTGCATGCACACAAGTCCTTTGGTTGATCTCTCAGCACGGGCATTTTTAGTGTGCTGAGATATGAGCTCTTCATTTCTTCCTTGACTGTTTTGAAAGCAGGTTTAATTTTCTAATGAGACTTTTAATGAATTATTTTTAAACCCAATTTAATTGCGGAAGAGCACGCCCCCCCCCTCCCCCCCAAGTGAAATCTGTTTGTCTGTCAGAAGGATGTTTCTGAAGTGGGCTGACCCCAATATTTTTCTCTGCAGGGCTGCTTGTATTTGGGGACCATAAAGATGGATCCAGAAATATTACTTTGAGGACTCGTTACATCCTGATCAAGGATGGTGGGGCGCTTCATATTGGAGCAGAAAAATGCCGCTATACATCCAAAGCGACAATTGCCTTGTATGGCAAGTCCGATGAAGGTGAAAGTATGCCAACATTTGGCAAAAAATTTATTGGTGTGGAAGCCGGCGGGACACTGGAGTTACACGGGGCACAGAAGGCGACGTGGACGTTGTTGGCGAGAACTCTGCACGCCTCGGGCCTGACCTATGGCGCCTATGCCTTTGAGAAGAACTTTTCCAGGGGCCTCAACGTGAGGGTCATTGACCAAGACACAGCCAAGATTTTAGAAAGCGACAGGTTTGATACCCACGAATACCACAACGAGAGCAGGCGTCTGCAGGAGTTTCTGAGGGTCCAGGATCCGGGACGGATTGTTGCTATAGCTGTTGGAGATTCAGCAGCCAAGAGTCTCTTACAGGGAACCATACAAATGATCCAGGATCGGTTGGGAAGCAAGCTGATCCAAGGACTGGGCTACAGGTGGGCATACTTTTGTACTTTCTTCTCCTGTTCCAGGTGAGAGTCTACATCTATGTGACAAGAGAGAGAGAATGGACACAGACACACAACACACCACAGCCTGACTCCAGGTCACAATGGCCACTGCCATCTGGAGGACTGGTTGCCTCATGCTTTGAAACAGGGGCCTGGAGGACAGGATACTGCTTACAAAAGCTATTTTCTTGGCTTTGGCTTATGAAGCACTTTGTGAACTGTAGCATCAGGCATGCGAAAAGAAGAGAAATATGGCCTAGCCGATGTGGCTCAGTGATTGTTAACCTATGAACCCAGAGGTCAGGGTTCAATTCCCGGTCAAGGCACATGCCTGGGTTGTGGGCTCGATTCCCATCTTAGAACAGAAATGTGGTACTAAAAAAGAGAAAAAAAGAAAAGAAAAGAAAAAAAATCATGCAGTGTAAGGACAATTTTCTCTCTTTCACTACCTTTTGAAGTGTGTCATGAGACTCAGGCTAATCCAGGCACCTTAGGTGTTGAAAGGTTAGGGCCCAGATTCGTGCTAAAAAGTCTGAGGGGTGGAACACACATAGCTTTCTCTTTCGGAATCCTTTGGTGGCCATTGGATCTACTGATTTGCTTGATGCAGGTCCGGGGAGGCCTGGCACGTACGTGAGGCTGAGCTGAAGGGGGAGGAAGTTCATCCAGAGAGTAGGGATCGTTTGTATTATTTGTGGTTCTTGTGCCATATTCTAGTTGGCCGTGATTTCCTAATGCATCCTTGAGCTGGCTCAACGTTTAATTCAGAAAACAGAAGTTTCAGTTCTGCTTACCATACTGTTCTTCGTAAAGTCAAGGAATATCTGCAGTGAAAAGTAAAAGGATTTCCAAAATTGACCTGTTAAGACAATCTAGTTATTTTGTTGATGGTTGGTTGATTTAGTTATTAGAATGATCTTTTACTCCCTTCTTGGTGCACATGTGCGCGTATTTCTATAGTTCCTAGTTATTAGTTTTTCCTTGGAAACTGGTTGTTGGAATGAAAGATTATCTGTAGAAATTCTGGAGAGAGTTAAGACAAAGTTAGCAAAGAAAAGGGGTCTGTAATGTTGTAAAAATGCTCTCTAGTCACCCAGGGAATATGTAAAAGTCGTTAAGAGCTGGTTACCCAGAGGTCTTTGATGAAACGTCACCCTCTCAGCCTTCATTTAATCTAGTGGGTAGACAGAGACCTGAGTAGATGAGGACTGAACAATAAGACACTTGCTGCACTGACAGGCCACAATGGGAGTGTAGGTGAAGGAACTCCAAAATTGGCCTACGTTAGTTGGTGGAGGCTCTCTAAAGGTGAAGATGTTTAGAAGATGTTTAGGATGGAGGTCTTTCCAGACAGAGAACAACGTGCAAAACTTAAGAAGTGTTTTTAAAAATATTTTATTAAATATTAGAGGCCTGGTGCATGAATTCGTGCATGGGTGGGGTCCCTCCTGGCTGATAGGGGCTATCTTACCCAGTCCCAATCAGGGCTGGCCAGGGGGAAGGGCCTCGGGAGGTTGGCCAGATGTGGGAGGTTGGCTGTGGGAGCACACTGATCACCAGGGCGTACCTCCTGCGTTGAGCATTTGTTCCTTGGTGGTCAATGCGCATCATAGCTACCAGCTAGTTGTCTGGTCATAATGGTTGCTTAGACTATATATATATTTATATATATATATATATATATATATATATATATATATATACACACACACACACACACACACACACACACATATATACATATCTATCTATCTATCTATATTCATATAGATAATATACACACAGGACAGTGCTCAAAATAAGAATGTAGAGTATAATGACTTAGCACAATGTGATAACTGGGTCACTACCATCTAGTTCGTGAAATAGAATGCTGCCAGTGGCCCATTTTGTTCACTGATCACTCCCTCCACTCTCCAAAGGGAGCCAAAACCAACTGCCCTGATTGGGTGCAGAATGCTAAAGTGTCTGAACTTCATATAAACGAGGGCAGATAATACATCATATCTCATGTCTGGCTGCTTTGCTCAATTCTGTTATTGAGGGTCATCTGTGTTGTTGCATGTAATGCTGGCTCATTGTCATTGCTGTTTATCTTCCATTGTGTGTTGATGCCACAAGGTGTTCACAGCGGGCTGGCTGGATGACTTTCCAGTTTGGACCTCTGTTATCATAGGAGCTTCAGTGAATGATCTTTTACTCCCCTCTTGGTGCACATGCACACGTATTTCCATAGTTCCTAGACCTGGGATTGGAGCACCTTTTCAAACTTAGACTCCCTCCTTTGTTTCCATATCCAATAATGCCAGGGGTTACAACTTCTGTTTCTTTATGCCATCATTGTTCTAGGTCAGTGTGATCATTGGCCCTGAATGTTTTGTTTAACTTTTTATTTTATTTATTCATTTTTTATTCTTTCTACTGGTTTCTAAATTCCCTTCAAATGTAGCTGCTGATTGGGCAGAGGAATCAGTGTTGTGATCCCTTGCCAGTGTTCCAGGCTTCGACATTATCTCCAGGGCACACAAACATGCCCCTTTGAAGATAATGTTCTGGTTGCACTGACATTTTCCTCCAGTGGAGGAGGGAAGTAGGAGTGTTTTGGAGATAGTGTCAGTAGAATACAACATTGTTTTATAGTTGCTGAGGCAGTCCTGGTAAATAAAGGAAGCCTCTGCTCTTTTCCCTCTCCTTCCCTCTCACACAGGAGATAATATGTTGAGACATTCTTCATTTGATTCTTTCTGCTGTGTCAAGGAATATAAATAGAGCCGTAAAGCGTTGTCAGCCAAAGAGGAGCTAAATCCAGGCAGGGGTGGGTGTGGAATTTATAAGGATGTAGGCATACTTTGGTTAACTTTTGTCTGTGACTATCCGGCCATCTGTCTGGCATAGATTACATTTTGGTGTATTTTTTTTTCCTAGAGAAGGAAGTTGACATTTTTCTTTTCATGTTTTAAACCAGGAGTCTTAAGGCAAATTTTTTAGGTTTTTTTCTTTCTTTCTTTTTTTTTTTTCTCCTCTTGAATTTTGTCAAGAAGCTTAAGCAAGTCCCTGGGAGGATTATCCCAATATCATAGGAATAGCCGAAGCCGGTTTGGCTCAGTGGTAGAGCGTAGGTCTGCAGACTGAAAGGTCCCAGGTTCGATTCCGGTCAAGGGCATGTACATTGGTTGCGGGCACATCCCCGGTAGGGGGTGTGCAAGAGGCAGCTGGTTGATGTTTCTCTCATCGACGTTTCTAGCTCTCTATCTCTCTTCCTTCCTCTCTGTAAAAAAATCAATAAAATATATTTAAAAACCAATATCACAGGAATAAAATGGTGTTTTCAAGAACAATTGCTTTTAATAAATAGACATGTAGTATGTACAGTCTGTTGTATAGTAATTGTACAGCTTTGAGAAACAGTTAACCTAGTGGTTCTCAGCCTTCCTTATACACCTGAGATTTAAAAAGTTCCCGATGCCCAGGGCCCACCCTTGGTCACTTACTTCAGGGTCTGCGGAGGTCAGGACCCCAGGCAACTGATGTGCAGTTGGGGTTGATAACTACTGCTTTGTGCTCTGACCTCCAACTCACGGTTCTCGGTGTGGTCCCTGGACCAGAAGCCTCAGCATCACCCAGGAACCTGTTAGAAATGCAAGTTCTCAGACTCGTTTCAAACGGGGTGTATCCAAGTAAATCAAGCCTTCCAAGTGATTTTTGGGTCTGCTGATGCCAGAGAACCAGCGCTGTTACTCAGTGGTTCTCCAGTGTGGCTGCACTTCCAAATCACCTGGGAAACTTCGCCAATTTACTCACGTCGGCCCCGTCTGTAGAGACGATGACTGCATTGGTCTGTGCTGGGTCTGAGCAGAGATGTGTTTCTATTATGCAGCTAGATTGGAGAACATTGCAGAGCGGAGAGTTGAAAAGAGCAGGTTTTACTTATTTATGTATTTTTATTTATTTCAGAGAGGAAGAGAGAGGGAGCGAAACAATGATGAGAATCATCGATCGGCTGCCTCCTGCACGCTCCCTACTGGGGATTAAACCCACAACCCGGCATGTGCCTTTGACCGAAATCAAACCTGGGGCCCTTCAGTCCACAGACTGATGCTCTCCCCACTGAGCCAAACTGGCTAGGGCGACAAGAGCAGGTTATAAAAGAAGGAAACATAAATGGGTTCATGGCCAGAAGGGTGGTGAATGACCTGGGTGTGTATTGAAGATGGAAGGCAGTCATTAAGTCAGTCAGCGGTGTTTCACCTGTTACAGAGCTGGGTAACCCGGGTTTTGAAATTCACATGCATTTCCTTCTGTGACGCCATTTGCTTCACAATCAGCGTCTGCATTTGCATCCTCATATAGAGAAAAAGGTGTAGGGGCTGGCAAAGAACAAAATATGAGCATCAGAGGACACCTGATCTAACACCTGTGCCAGGGACCTGAGTCAGGACCATGACCAATAATCAGATGCACGGCTCTTTCCTTCCAGGCAAGCTTGGGCTTTGGTTGGTGTCATCAACGGTGGCAGCACTTCTTGCAATGAATCTGTGAGGAACTATGAAAACCACAGCAGTGGAGGGAAGGCTCTTGCCCAGAGGGAATTTTATACTGTGGACGGTCAGAAGTTTGCCGTGACAGCTTATAGCGAATGGATTGAAGGTAGGCAAGCACGGTGTATACTGTTGTAAGACATGGGTAAGTATCGTGACAGATTTTAATTTTTGAAGTGACAGTGTATTCAGATGACATTCCAGTTAGATTTCTCAACGGATGGAGAGTAAAACCAGCAGTTTCCCTACTGTACTGGATCTTTTAGACGCCAGGGTTCTTTCTGGATTAAACAACGATCTGTTCTAGATTGGGCACCACCAGCTGGACTTGGTGTGTGGCTCTCGAGTCGTGTTAGTGTGGCTAACTAGCGGAAATAGATTTGTGTCCCGGATGTGATAGGATAAGCTATCTTTGTTTATGCTCGGTGACAGTGACCATGATCTTGTACCTTCCGTCTTCTCTTTCTGTACATTTGTCAGCAAAATTACCTTTGAAAACATGTTATACAAAGTAAAAATTAAACGTTAGCCACTGACTCAGAGATAATTATTTTGGTGCAAATAATCTAGTATTTTCTTTCTTTTTTATGTTCCCTCCCTCGGTGTTCATTTTGTTTTAATCTGTTTTCCTCTCTTTAAATAACATATTGAAAAGGTACCTCATGTCTTTATATTTTCTTCATTATACTTTTAATGATAATCCATCTTTCAGAAGAGCTATAATTTGTTTGAATAACACTTAGTACTGGCTATTTAGGGTGCTTCTGACTCTTTTTCTCTTAGTGATGTTCACTGTATAATTTCTTTTACTACCCACATCGCTACCAGAATTTTGGCTTTAGGTAGACATTGGCAGCTCTGAGCTTGCCCATCACCTTTTTTTCCTCAACCAAATATTATACCCAAACGAATGTGAAATGAGTAAGAGGTGTTTCATTATACCTTTAATTATCCAGAAAGGCTTCGTTTAGACTGGGCTCAGACCTCTGTTTTTAGAAGCACAGTAACGAACGTTTTTATTAAAATGGCTTTCTGGAGAAAGAATGCCTGGATTCATATCCCAGGCCTTTCACTTACTCGGTGATGATGGGCATGTGACTTCAACTTCCTAACCCTCAGTTTCCTCATCTGAAAAATGGGGATAATAGAAACTGCCATATAGGGCTGTTATGAGTATCAAATCTGAAGAATGTGACGTTTTTAGCACAGCATGTATAATAAGCACTTAGTCAATGTTACCTATTTTTTTTTTCCTATGAAATATTTCATCCTTGTTGGCCTTTTGCCTAAACATTTTCTAAACATGTTTTTTTTTATGTTGATTTTAGAGAGAGGAAGAGAAAGAAAAACATCTATTGAGAGAAAAACACCAATTGGCTGCTTCCTTCATGCACCCCCACCCCTCACCAGGGATCTAACCCAAAATCTGGGCATGTTCCCAGGTTGGGAATTGGACGGGCAGCTTTTGGTGCACAGGACAATACCAACCACCTGAGCCACACCAGCAAGGACAATATTACCTATTTTAATGATGATGCAAGCATGGCTTAGGTTATAAATGGTGTATTTTGTATGGTCATTCAAGAGAGTCTTTTGCTTTAACACTGGGGAGATGGTATTATGGATGAGGAAGCTGGAATGAAGCTCAGCTTCCTGGCACAATCATGGGTGGGTGAGAAGCATTTCTTAGTAGGAATTTGTGTGAAAAGTTCAGTACAACTGCCTCCAGTAAGATTCCAGGCAAAAGAAAATTACTGACAAACCTCAGTCAACACTTCCTGTGTGGGAAATTTTGTTTTCACTTCCACGCTACTGACTGCTCACTTCTAGAGAAGGGTACATGCTGGCTTTCTGTCACAGACTGTTGTGTGTGTCTCAGCAACTCCTGCTTTCTGGAAGAGGGGGCATTTCTCTTCAGGAAGCAGGGGGAGGCACTTACTTCCTTTCCCGCCTCTAGTTCTATAGTGCTGACAGCTGATAGGAGATCATCTTAGGCAGGCTTTTCTCCTAAAGCCAGGAAAAAAGTGAGGAATAATACCGACCTGCCCCACCCAACAGAAACAGAAACACAGAAACAAATTCTAATGATCACTTAAGTCAAAACTTAAGTATTTACCTGGTTTTTAAAATTTTTTATTGATTTGTATTTTTTAGAGAGAAGAAGAGAGGAGGAGAGAGAGAAAGAGAGAGAGAGAGAGAGAGAGAGAGAGAGAGAGAAAGAGAGAGAGAGAGAGAAACATCAATGTGAGAGAGAAACATCAATCAGTGCCTCCCGTGCATGCCCCCAATGGGGATCGAACCCACAACCTGGGTATGTGCCCTGACTGGGAATCACACCTGTTGCCTTTCGGTACACAGGATGATGCTCAAACCAACTGAGCCACACTAGCCAGGATAATCTAGTTTTCTTTAAAGCATTTTTACTTAAAATCATCCTTGTCATCTTTTAAAAACATTATTGAAATTTACATAAAATTTTAATGAAAAAAGTTAATATTCAGTTGTCCTTTTTTAGATAATTTTTTGGGGGGGTAGAATATGAAATTTTGGGTAAAGATTATTGCTGCCATGAAGTTTTTATGACCTTTGCTCTTTACCTGTCTGTTTTGATTCTTGGGAAGGCAGAATAAGATGGAGGTTACCAAATTGGGCTCTTATCATTTTTTGGCTGTGATTCAAGCTCCCTCACCTTTGGTTTCCTCATTTCATACATGTAATAGTGCCTGTCTCTTGTAGCTGCTTTCACGAAAGGTTGTTATGCTTGTGAAGTCCCCCAAATGTTAGCTATTGTTATTGTAAGTTATTATTTGGACAACATTCCATGATGGGCTTTAGTTTCTGGACACAATAAACATATTAAAAACGCACTTTCCATTTATAAGGTGTCTTTTTTTGGTGCTCGGTAGACACAGAAAATGCAGGGTAGATCACAGTCTAAAGGAACAGAATCTGAGACTTGCTCAGATTAGGTTTTATCAGGATCGATGGCTCAAGACTAGAAGGGAAACTGTAGTATTCCTCGTGCCATGTCTGAATTTCCATCCTGTTGATTCCCCCTGACGTAGTAGAAGTGTTTTTTCACTCCTGTCATTGTCCTTTAGAGCAGCGGTCGCCAACCTGTGGTCCGGACCACTGGTCGTCCGTGAGGTTCGAAAGGTTGGCTGCTTTAAAAAAGTCACTCTCTTAAAGGAGCGCCCGATCAGCATGCTACATTCCGGGCAGGGGTGGATGGGCAGGGATCTGTGTTTGCATCTTTCACTCATTAATATCTACAGAGTGACTTCCACATGGCGGCCGCTAGTAAAAATGTGCCGACGTGTGTTTCTCTTGACTGTTGATTTGTTCATCCTTGAGAAGGGTCCACAGGAGAAAAAAAATCTCCTGCTAATGCATCGCTTTTTTTTTCTTTTCGGTTTAGGTGTCTCTCTTTCAGGTTTCCGGGTGGAAGTCGTGGATGGCGTGAAGCTTCATCTGCTTGATGATGTCAGTAGCTGGAAACCCGGAGAGCAGATCGTGGTGGCAAGCACTGACTACTCCATGTACCAGGCCGAGGAGTTCACGCTGCTCCCCTGTCCCGAGTGCAGCCGTTTCCAGGTCAAAGTCAAAGGTATCGGGCTGCGCAGAATGCTTTTTTTGGGAAACACTCTTTTCTTGGGATTTGATTCCTGGAGTTATATATTCTCCTCCCCCCCACCACCGTACCCCCACCCCAATTACCATCATCACCACCATCACCATGTTTCATGCCTGTTCCTTTTTTAATAAAAGATGAAGACAATTTAACTTCTTAATAATAATAATAATAATAATAATAAATCTATGGTTTTTGAGTGCCTTCTTCCTTCGCAAAAAAGTAGATCTTATTAATATTTAAATGGAGCCAAAAAGGTATTATAAGAAGACTGTAATTCCTCTCATAATCCTCACATGTACATCTTTTGAGGTAGAGCAGTGCCCAATGAGATGGTCGCTATAAACCCTTTAGAAAGAATGGCTGGCATTTGTCTGTTCCTCATTCTGATCTGACCGTCGGCGAAGCTTCTTCCTGCATTGCCTCAGCTGTGGGCTTCCTTGTGTTTTTCCCTCGTTACGTTGCTTTCCTTGCTTCTGTGCGTTTGAGCTTATAGTAACTGCTTGATGAGTACTCACTCAGTGAGTAATTTAGAGCTTTGAGGTTTAAGGGAAACTTTTTTTGCTTTAAAAGAAAACAGGATGATTGACTCGCTGGGCACTTGTCTCTGTGTTTCCGCGTTGTGCTTTTCCTTCTTGATAACACAGGGCAGAAGCAGAAAACAGAAAAACACAGAAAACTGCGATACCATCTGGCATTGATTTTGCTTGGAAGTTCCCACTGTTGTTAACAAGTCTACATGATAATGAATCTCCATGATCTCAACTCCTTGATTTACTTTTATTTTCTCCCTTGAGTTTATATAATAAAAACACCAGGGAGGAGCCCATTATTTCAAGAGTTTCTAAATTTCCCATCAAAGTGGGAGCTTGAAAGAATGCATGATATTAAAATAGGAAGATGGAGGAAAGAAAAGGTGGTTGTTTTTGTGCTGTTAAATATGCAAGTGCCCACTACTGCAGCTCTGAAGTAGAAACAAAAACAACTCACTCCCTGTTATCGACATTGATAACATCATTGGTTCTTCTGGACTCACCGTACATTTGCTTTTTCATGTGTCCTCAGGGGGGTAGAACAAAAGCATATGGACCAGGAGAGAGACTATGGATTCTTGAGTAGATTCCAAATTATTGACTCTAGATTAAGGGAGGATGGAGTTACTTCAGGGAGGTACAAGCATTGTGTGTGGATTTGATAGTTGGTCAAATTGGGTGGGTGGTTCAACTAGATAATCACTAATACCCTCACTTCCTGGGATTCTGTGGTTCTGAGATATTAAAGGATGGAAGCGGACAGTTGCATTGGATAATGTCTTTGGGTTACCGAGAAACGTGACTGTCTTTTTGACATAAGTTCCATGTTTTCTTGGTTCTAATATTATTTTTCCCTTGCCCACATCAACCAGAAACCCCGCAGTTCCTGCACATGGGTGAGATCATAGATGGCGTAGACATGAGAGCCGAGGTTGGAATTCTCACCCGGAATGTTGCAATCCAAGGAGAAATGGAAGATGCGTGCTATGGTGAAAACCAGTGCCAGTTCTTTGATTATGATACCTTTGGGGGACATGTCACGGTAGGCAGAAGAATTGGATGCGTTCTTTGAAACCTTGGCTGCTAAATGTGTTTGGAAAAACTTTAAAGTTTTGGAATGAAATCTATAAGGGTATTAAGGAGAAATCATATTTTATTTCTCTATTGAATGACAAAGAGCAGATTTTAGGTAATTAAAATAAAGTTTATATCTTCATGTAGTTGACCTGGACCTGAGGTTAAGCTGTTTAAGAATTGCCTTATGAAGAATTAAGTCAGTACCTTGGGAAGAATAAATTATATAGAGACAAATAAATCTTGATATGAAAGGATCAACTGGTTCTTTATAAAATATGATTAGGCAATATACACATACAAACTATGTTTCTGAAAAACTTTTATATGCAGATTTTTATTCTGTAAAAGTATTGAGCACTTACTATGTGGTAAGCTTGCTCTATATCCTAATTTATTGGACTTCTGGTCTGCATTTTGGCTACATTGTTTTAAAATCAGTGTTTGTGCAGTAAGTGGGCTATGCTTATTAACAGCATATCTGTGACAAAAATTTCTGAAATGTTGGTCAGTATTATTTCTTTGTTCTCAGTAGTATGATTGGAAATCCAGCATTTAAAAATGTCGAATGCCCTAATTGTGGATCACAAGAATTTTTTAAAAGAACTGAAGTAAACACTATTATATGCTAACAAAAATATTGAGGGCCAATTTAGAAATACCTTTTTCAAACTATTGTGGAAGTCATGGAAATAAAATAGCAAGATGAGACTAGAACTGACCAAAACGTTTGAACACATCAAAACACACATACAGAAATCGTCTGCAGCTTTTCTGGTTACATGTCCTTTTATTGTTAATGTAAGATGATGATAATTGGTCCGTAGTCCTTTAAAGTAATCCCTTAAGCAAAGGAGGAGCATTTGCTAAATTATTAACTGGAGACCCGGTAAAATAGGATGTGAAAGACAGTACATGTTTTAACATGTATGTAAATCTCCTCTAGACATTTCCTATGAAACAGTATATTTTGCTACGTTCCTGTAATAAAATGTCTCATTTGACTTTGGTTACTATGTCTTCCAGATAAGGAAAAATTTTACTTCCGTCCATCTTTCTTATGTGGAATTGAAATACATGGGCCAGCAGCGGGAGCTGGGACGGTACCCTGTTCATTTCCACCTGTGCGGGGACGTGGACCACAGGGGAGGTTACAGACATAGGACATCTGTGGACGGACTGTCCATTCATCACAGCTTCTCCCGGTGCATCACTGTGCACGGGACCGACGGCCTGCTGGTGAGCAAGCTTACATTACGGGGGTGCATGTTATGGAAGTTACCTCTCCTTAGATCTCACGACTCCTCAATTTCTTTTTTCAACTATATTTTATTGATTTTTTACAGAGAGGAAGAGAGCTAGAAACATTGATGAGAGAGAAACATCTACCAGTTGCCTCCTGCATACCCCCTACTAGGGATGTGCCCGCAACCAATGTACATGCCCTTGATGGAAATCGAACCTGGGACCTTTCAGTCCACAGGCTGACGCTCTATCCACTGAGCCAAATCGGTTTCGGCAGGACTCCTCAATTTTATAGAAGTTAGCTTCGCACTACATTCCTTTACTCTAGCTTGCTTTTACAGAGAATTCTGTTTTTCCATGTGAAGGAGGCTTCCCTTTTTAGCTACCCAAATTGTTCTCTTAAGAGATCAATAAAACCTGACATTTGACTTGGCCCCTTCAGATAAGATGAAAAGTTCTTTTTGCATTTGTGCCCAGGAGGCTACCCTGAAGAGCACTTGTTCCTTAAACCACCATCCATCTTGCTGCCGATGACATGATGCACTTATGTTTCTGCAGATAAAGGACACCATCGGGTTTGACACACTGGGCCACTGTTTCTTCTTGGAAGACGGTGTTGAACAGAGAAATACTTTGTTCCACAACCTGGGACTCCTCACCAAGCCCGGCACCCTCCTTCCCACAGACAGGAACAACTCCATGTGCACCGCCATGCGAGAAAAAGTGTTTGGGAATTACGTCCCTGTGCCCACCACGGACTGTATGTGAGTAACTGGCAGAGAGAAAAACTCCTGTGTGATGGTCAAGGTCTCTGGCTGGTTGGGGAAGAAGTTTTGGGGGGGAGTTTTTAGTGGGCAGAATATTTCATGATGATTATTTAAATCACCTTAAAAAATGCCTTGCAGGGCTGTTTCAACTTTCTGGATTGCTCATCCCAACAACAATCTGATTAATAACGCAGCTGCTGGCTCACAGGTAAATAAGGCCTAAGTGCTTTCAGGTTTTTTTCTGTTCGTGTTGACAAAGTTCTTGTATGTGGATGTGACGTGATGGATGGAACTCCATATGCGTCAATCTCTCTCCTGCATCCTATTGGTTTGTTGGTGCTACTTGTCTGGTTGAGAGCAGATGTGACTGAGATGCTTCTTCCATTTCTTCCAAATCAATGATGCCAGCTTGTATCATCCTGCCACGACCTTTTGAAGCCCCTGTGTCATCTCAGCTCATCCCTAGCTCGGGATGTCTTAGGTTCCTCAGTTCCTTTAACATTTTGGAGTCTCCCCTCCACATGGAATCTTTGACTCACTCCTGTATGCAAGTTCCCATACATGAGCATTAAATTCGGTTACTTTTTCTTGCCAATCTATCTCATGTTTAACTTGAGGTTAGAGAACAGTTTTTTCCTCCCCTACAATAGCTATTGGTCATAATTAAAACTATACATAATAATGTATATATTAAAAATATTTTTATTGATTTCAGAGAGAGAAATAGAAACATTATTGATGACAGAGAACCATCGGTCCTCTGCCTCCTGCACACCCCACACTAGGGATCGAGCCCACAACCCAGGCATGTGCCCCAACCGGGGATCGAACCGTGACTTCCTAGTTCATGGGTTGACACTCGACCATTTAGCCACACTGGCTAGACTTCATTTCATTTTTTTACCAGTGAAGCAATCAAGCATTTAAAAGAGACTTTATATTTCACTGGAATATTTGTAATAAAAAAATTGAAGTTAGTTTGAAATGCTCAATAATTTCTACATCATGAATTTTTATCAAGTCACGTCATTTAAATTTAACCCAACTTGCCACTTTTGAGTTTTCACCTTGTTTAACTGATGCCCATCAAATAAATAATAGACAGAAATGATATGTCAGTGTTAGGTACCACATTGTAAAAATGAAAAAAAAAAAAAAAAAGACATGACCATAATAAAAATTAAGTAAAGAATTTTGCAACTGTCCCAATAAAATGACCTTGTCAAGGAAAAAAAGAAATCAGTTATGCCACGTTAGTATCTCTGTGTAGAGTAAGACAGATGCCTAATGGAGGAGAAGAGGTCAGCTAATCCCCAGGGTTATCATGTCTCTCCAGAGTATAATTTTAGAGTGTGATACATCGTCTTTCTGGGTTATCATATGTAAGCCAGGTGTGGCATGGTCATTTCAGTTTTTAGTGTGGATGCAGAAAGAAAGCTTTAGCTTCTCTTCATGGGAACGGGTTATTCTGTAGAAGACAGACAGGGGTCTCTCTGGTGAAGGGGCTCATCCTTTTGTTAATCGTATGCACTTGGGGATTTCATCTCCATGGTAAAGCAGCTAAACTCAGCTGTGTGCCTTAAATTAACTGTGCCTTGAATTGTTTCACAAACATAAGAATCACTTAAAAGAACAAATGAACTATTTTTGGATGGCAGAAATGTCTCCTGGGTAAGGCTGGAGAAATTTACACTTATAATTGAGTCTGACTTAAAACTGCTAATTTATAATATAAAAATTAATCTTTAGGACATTATACTATTACCATTATATCTGTGCTGAAAACTACAGTACAAAAACAAAACAAAACAACAAAAACTGGGCTTTACAGCAACACCTAAATATTCATATATTTATTGGCTGTTAAGATTTTAAAAGGAAAGAAATTCCTAGCATTGTTTTTCAGGAAGATTTTCTTTGAGATGAATAGAATCCAGGCATCTTTATGTGATGGTAGAATTCTCATCAGTAATATCCCCTAAAAACATAAAACGTAACATTCTTATTTGACAGGGCAGATGCCTAGACATTTAATCATTTCATGTTTCCATTCATTCATTTTTTATCAAATATTTGTCAAGTCCCACATGGGGTTTGCATTGAGACTTTCTCATTAGAAGATGAGATTTTGGGTAAAGATGACCAATAGATTGATAAGCAGTCTCACGCCAGGATCTTTTACAAATGAACAGCCAGAGCAGAGATTCCTTTCAGTTGTTTTCAGAAGTTGTGGGTTGAAGATTAAAACACATTGCAAATAGTCTGTGAAAGGTGTCTGGTGAGGTTTCCAGAAACCTTCCTTGAAGCTCATGTTGAGAAAATAACAAAGGCCCATTTCATGTGCGTTCTTCCTTTTCATTTTGGGAATTCTTTCTTTTCTCTCTGGAGAAACTGCTCCAGGGACGCTCATGTCTTGGCAAGAGTTTTCCTCCCAAAGTCAACCAAACCCTTTCTCCTTGTACCTTTCCACTGCCTTTCACAGAGCTCCCTGTCCCTGTCCCACAGTGTTTAACAGGAAACAGCTACTACCTCCTTGTTCTTTCCTCCACCCCCAATCCCCAAACTCCATTGTACCCTAGAGGGTTTGCTGTGCCCTCAGTGTATGGGGCTGTGGGATGAAGAAGACAGCCCTCCATGTCTTCCTCCATGGTCTGCTTTGTGCCCCAAGGTGTAGAGGTGGTAGAGGTGGTAAATACAGTTGTCAAAACAGTTTTTCCTTAAAAAAACCAAAACAAAAAAACCCTCACCTGAGGATACATGTGTTTTTTTTAAAACATATTTTAGAGAGAGAGGAAGGAGGGGAGAGCGAGAGCGAGAGCAAGAGAGAGAAAGAGAGAGAAAGAGAGAGAAAGAGAGAAACATTAATGGATTGATTGCCTCTCCTACCTCCTGCATGCACCTGCCTGGGGATTGAACTTGCAACATTTGGTGTATGGGACAACACTCCAATCCACTCAGCCACCCGGCTAGGGCAGAACAGTTTGCTTTAAGGCCCATCTATAAACTTGGGGGGAAATGTTAACTATTGGTTTCATTTTGGTGCATAGGTACATCTGCTTTTCACAATTCATCTCCTCTAGGTTCCCAAAGGACTTTTTATTTCAGCTAATATAGTGCTTATTACATACATTTCAGTTCTGTCTTTATTTCCCATTAAACTATGAATTCTTTGTGAATAGCCTTGTACACCTGGCATGTAGTGGGCACTAAATAAATGTTTTCCATATTTGAATCCGTGCCATACTTTTTGGACTGTAAGTTTCAGTTTCTTCAGCCTGTTTCGTCAAAATTCCATCCTATGAAGATGTCTTTCACATTGGGCTGGTTTTCAATTGTCACAGGAATTAGGAACATTTCATTTCGGTTTTTATATTTCATTTTGAGTGTCAAAATATTTCAAACGGTTCTGCTCCCGGTAAGGTCAGGAATACTGAAATGGAATAGACAGTGTCCAGACTGAGACAGCATCCTGATTCATACGTGTGGTGTGGTGTTTTTTTTTTTCTTTTCTTGGCAGAAATTTTCCTCGGGATAGGAAGGGCATTGGAGTTGTTTGAAAGAAGTCAGTGAGCCCTGCATGTTGGCAGATAGTTGTTTAATAGGAATGACTCATTTATTGATCAGGTTTGAAGGTAAACAGAAAAACCCGTATTTCTCAAAGGCTGTGCTGTCCTTGTCACATGGAAGGAAGGAAGGCTTGTTTGCTTCTAATTCTGCACAACTTTTTAAAGTAGATAGTAATGGCAAACTTACTTTGAAAAGAAATTTTGCTGTCAGCCAGTTATTTCTATCTTTTGTCCAAACCTGTAAACAAAATTAAATTTGCTTTTTTTTCTCAAAGCATGATAGCACTGCTTTGAAGGTGCTAGGTGAGTGTACACCTTTTTTATAGTCTATTCCTAACCTGAAACAATGACTAGTTAGTGTTAAAAAGATTAAACTTGCCCGTGAAGTGCTTAGTTTATGAGGGTTTTCACAGAGTGGCTTTATAAAAGGAGCTTTTAATGATCTTACCCTTTTAATTATAGGATGCTGGAATATGGTATTTATTTCACAAGGAACCTACTGGGGAATCCAGTGGAGTGCAGCTGCTAACGAAACCAGAACTTACTCCGTTGGGTGTATTTTATAACAACAGGGTCCATTCAAGTTTTAAGGTAGGTTCCTAAGTTTTAACAGCTTAGTACACATGATTTGCAGGGTAAAGGATAGACTACTGTGGTTACAACTGAGAAATGTCTGTTTTAGATAGACCTTGTCACCAGAGATTAAAAAAGCAGACTCCTAACTCTTCTTCCATCTGAAGGCTGTCTACACAGTTTTCTGTTTATACACACAGGAATATACCCAAATGTACAGATGCTTATGCAGCCTGAAGAACACACAGGAATATATGCTAACACACACATGCTAATGCAGTCGGAAGTCATAATAATGGACTTGATTCACGAGTCTTCGTCCTCCTCCCTCCTTCTTTCCATGCTCTAATGTCATTATATGTGTCCAGGGATGAACACATTCAGCTGTCGCCAATCAGTGGTCTGCAGACCCCTGGTGGTCCCTGAGGTCTGGAAGGTTGGCGACAGTTGCTTAGATAATGTGCTTCCAAGGATTAAAAAACGTATTTTCTCTCTCGGTTCTGATGAAATGTCCTGTGGAATTTAATTTACAGTATTCCTGTAAATAGTGAAATACTGTTGAAGAATGTTTGACCCAATTTAAAATGATACAGGTCAAGTAAAGTGAAGGCCATTCAGGAACTCCAGTTTCCATGGTATTTGGCATTCATCCCTCACCAGCTGTTGATAAAACACTTTTAGCTCATTTTGTGCTCATAGGCACATGGATATTTTCGTTGTATGATATGGTGCCCAGATTCTTTATCACAGCTCAATGGATACTTCCCCTTGATAGTACTCAGAGGATCTTTTTTGTTTTTAATCTTTATTGTTGAAAATATTACATACTTTTTTCCCTCCCTTGACCTCTTCTAGCCCACCCCCACCCTCCACCCTAGGCCTTCACCACCCTATTGTCTGTGTCTATGGGTTATGAATATAATATAATATGCACACCCCCCACCGGGAATATGCCCGCAACGAAGGTACATGCCTTTGACCAGAATCGAACCCAGGACTTTTCAGAGCCAAACCAGTTTCAGCATCACACCCTGCTCTTCATCCTCAACTTATCCTTTGGCATGGTTAATTTCTCCCCATCCTTCATGTTCAGTTGTAGGATGCCACTTCCTTTCTGATGTGCTACCAAACATTTCCATTATCATGTGCTTCTCCTATTGGATTGTAATTGTTCTTAATTGCAAGTCTTGCTACTAGTATGTGTCAGTAGTTTTGTAGTTAATGTGTAATATAATGGCACTTTGATGTGAACTCATTCGGTGATTTGCAAATATTTACATAGTGCCTACCTTGTGGTAAATATTTGCAAATGACCAAATGAGTTCAATTATTAAAATATCCATGAAAGTAGCTGTTTACATGATAACCTGTGGTTTGCTGTTTATTCTTTCTCGCTTTTTTTTTTTTTTTTAATCATTGATGCAATAATCTAAACCTTATTTTTATGAATCATTATCTACTACATAGCTATAACTTGGGACTCATATTTATTTCGGTCCATTATTATATTTTCCAGGCTGGCTTATTTATTGACAAAGGTGTCAAAACAACCATTGCTAGTGCTGCTGACCCCCGGGAATACCTCTGTTTGGATAACAATGCAAGGTAGAGTCTACACTTTCAACCGCCCTCAAGCTTATTTTGCCAAAGCAAACCTTTCTGAGGGAAGCCATTGTGTTCCTTTCTCCAGGAACACTTTGAAAATGAAGTTCTCAAGATTTGAAGGAGGGTTTTGGAAAAATATTTATTCTGTTGTCCTAAGTCCTGTGGCTGGGCTTTTTAATGCTGTCCCCTTTTCACGGTTGTAAGTTGATGTTAGAGTTGCAGAAAAAGCAAGAAAAAGGGAGAGATGTTGAAAAAAAGGGTCCAAATTTGACCTAACATAGAATATGATTCATTGAAATACAAGTTAAGCTTAAATGTTTTATTGTAAAATCAAGGCATACAGAATTTATGGTCAGTGGTCAGAAGAGAACATTGGTTGAGTCTGTTTCAAAGGGAAAGGTCTCAAACGTGATGACCAAGCGAGTTCTGGTTTAGTCATTTGTAGTCTCAGACTCACCTCAGAGCTGGGCTCTATGTTATTCTCCTTTATAACCACAGAACGTGGTTGGGATATGGATCAGCCTTTCAACCAAGTTCTTTTACATGCGGTATATGAGAGCCAAAATAAATAAAATGTCTCCAATAGAAATACGGTTTTCTGACCTGGAGATTATTATGCTAAGCAAAATAAGCCCGTCAGAAAAAGACAAATACTATATGATCTCATTTATGTGTGGAATCGAATGAACAAAATAAACGGATGAATAAAATAGAGCCAGAGGCATGGATACATGGAGCAGACTGATAGGTTAGAGGGGAATGTGAGGGGGGACGAGATAAAAGAAAGGGAAGAAAGTAGCCAAAGAACATGCATAGCCCCCGGACACACATGGCAGAGTGGTGAAGGCCAGGGGAGGGGTGGCAGGAGTGGGTGGGGGGTGGATAGTGTGGGGGGAGAAGGAGGGACATCTGTAATGGTGTCAGCAATAAAAATAAAAAATACCTTTTCCAGCTTTCTGGAAAAGATGGCAACATAAAGTCATATTCAGTAGGAACTGTGTCAGTGTTATTTTTTATACTTAAGTTGAGTGGCCAACTTAAGATGTTGAAAGGGTGCTAAGGTCTGTTGCTAGACATTTAAGGAAAAGACGCCAAGTTTATTATGAGAAGCCACACTGTAGGTCAGAGGGGAGGCAGAGGTCAATGAGACAATGTAGGTGTGAGGCAGGATGCTTGTGACACAGTGATAAGACATGAGTGAGGTCAGGAGAAACCTAGGGAAAGTATACTTAGTAAAATTACTCATCACTTCTTAAAGGTCAGGTTGAGCCTGAAGTATTTTAAAGCTATGATCAGACAGCATTTGGGAAGCTGCAAAACTGAGGGCATTATTAAATTTTGATACCTTATAGCTGAACAAGATATGAAACTGAAAGCTAGAAGAAATAAACTAAAGGTGACAAAGGAGCCCTGCTGGTGTAGCTGGGTGGTTCAGTGTCCACCTATGAACTGGGAGGTCACTGTTTGATTCGCGGTTCGATTCCCAGTTGGGGTACATGCTTGGGTTGCTGGCTCGATCCCAAGTGTCGGGTGTGGAGGAGGCAGCCGATCCGTGATTCTCATCGTAGATGTTTCTATCTTTCTCTCCCTCTCCCTTCCTCTCTGAAATCAATAAACATACATTAAAAAAAGAAAAAGGAGCAAAGAGATGATGACAAATTATGAAACAAGAAGGGAATATTGTCTGGCTGGTGTGACTCAATGGTTGAATGTTGACCTATGAACCAGGAGGTCAAGGTTTGATTCCTGGTCAGCACAGGCCTGGGTTGTGGGCTTAATTCCCAATAGGGGGTGTGTAGGATGCAGCCAATCAATGTTTCTATCTCTGTCTCCCTCTCTGAAATAAATAAAAATATATTAAAGAGAGAGGGGGGGGGAAGGGAAGGAGGAAGGGAGGGAGGGAGAGGGAGAGAAGGGAATATTATTTGATAAAACAAAGAAATCTTTGCTAGGTGGTAACTGCTACTTTTTTAGTTTGAGCGAGTTTATTATAACTGGTATGTATTCATTGCTAAATTAGTATTACTAGAAAAATTCTAAACACAACCAAATTGACTCCCTTCTTTGCCTTAAAAAACCTGTGTGTGGGGATGAATGGATGGATGTGGAAATATATTTGAGAATTCATTGATATTTTAATTTGACTCAACAATAAAACAATCTAGTCTTAATAGTCCAAGAAGTTTTTATAGGGTATGTGTATATGATATTATGATAGTGGTACTTTTTTTTTCTGTTGTCTATTAGTTCTCTTACCAGTTCTTAAATGCATACTTTTTTTTTCTTTATTTTTATTGTTGACACTATTACACATGTTCCCATTCCTCCTCACCCCTTTGCCCGCCTCCACTTACCCCTGTCCCCGCTTCCCTCTGGCTGTTACCACACTGTTGTCTGTGTCTATTGGTTTGCATACATCTTGGTAAGGAATTAAGACTCCATTTGCAAGTTGCTATAGAAAAAGAATTGATTATAGAATAGTGTGACAAGACATTTGACAGCTGGTGTATGCACTTAATTTTGTTTAAGCTAATGTAAAGAATATGCTCAAACGCATTCATGAAGCCCAGACATGAGTAAAAATGATAAAACTCTAAGGCAAGTGAGTAAGAAGACAGCCAGCGAATTAGACATCGGGCTATGGAATCCAAGGAAATACTCAGTCTGTTCATCACAGGGGAAGTTGACTCAATAGTTAATCAGATGAGCCTCTCCGTATGTTTTCAAAATGTGAAATTACAGGAATCCAAAGATGGGAAATTTTAACGCAAGAAAATTCTTGGTTTGAGATTGGGAAATTTCGTTAGAAAGTGTAATAGCCTGAGAGCCAACAAGTCCATTTACAGCAGAGGACAGCTAAGGGAGGAGGTGGGGAAGGGTGCTGAAAGTTCATAAATGAGGATGATGAGATATTGGGAAAGCTGATCTTTTTTTTTTTTTTTTTGCACACCAAGTAGGGTAGAGGATGAAAATAAAGAGTTTCCAAGGAAAAGGTCTATAATTGATTTATATCAATAGGAATTTCAAGAAAAAAATGAGATGGCTACAGCCGAGAATCAGATGTTTTATTGGTACTTTTTTTTTTTTCTTTCTTTTTAGAGCATTGCGTAGTTTTCTTTCCACAACTCTTCCATCTGCTTGACATTATATAATGACTACAAAGCTGTTTGGCAGCAACTACAATGCCAGAAGAGTGGGTGATGGCTCCGAGTCAGATTTTTTACCCCTTAGGTTAGAGCTGTTTAGTGTAAGGAGTCGTATACACCATCTAAGGTGGATATAATGCTTTCCAGGCTGGTCTTTCTATCATCCATTCTCTACAATCCTTACTCCAAGAAGCAGCTAGTGACCAGTTTAAAAAAAAAAAAGAAAGAAAGAAATCTGGTCATATCACTTTCCTGATTGCATGTTTCTGATGGCACTTTTCATCACATCTATCTATATATGTTTCTATCTACGTATTGAGGTGTGGTTAACATTTTATGTATGTAACTTGTTGAGTTTGGGCATAAGTACACTCCCATGAAATCATTACCACCATCAAGCCCATAAACCTATCTGTTATCTCCTAAAATTTCTTCCTACCTCCTTTATTGTTATTATTTCCTTTAAAAAGTACACACACACACACACACACACACACACACACACACATATATATATATATATATATATATATATTTTTTTTTTTTTGATATCAGAGAGGAAAGGAGAAGGAGAGAGAGAGATAGAAACATCAATGATGAGAGAAAATCATTCATCAGCTGCCTCCTCCATGCCTCCTACTGGAGCCCACAACCTGGGCTTGTGCCCTTGTCCGGGATCCTTCAGACCTCAGGCCCCCGCTCTGTCCATTGAGCCAAACTAGCTAGGACTGTTATTGTTATTTCTTTAATTTAAGAATACTTTTTGTAATAACAATAATTACCATAATATATACTCTCTTAGCAAATTTTATGGGATACAATATAGTATTTTTAGCTATAAGCACTGTTTTGTTTAGTAAATCTTTAGAGTTTATCTATCTTGCATAACTAAAACTTTGTACCCTTTGACCATCACCTCCCTATTTCCTCCTCACCCAGTCTCTGACAACCGCCATTCTAATCTCTACTTTTCTAGTTGCATTTAGAACTGTATCCTTGCCTGGTGCATGCCCACCTTTATGTCCTCTCCCCCTTGCTTCTTACTCTCCAGCCAAAGTGTTGGTTCCCTAAACTTGCCAGGATCACTCGTGCCTAAGGGTCTTTGTACTTGCTCTTCTCTGTGCACAGCTCTTCTCCCATCATACACATTTAGTAAGCACCTACTGTGTGCCAGCAACTGTTAGTAGCGTTTGCACAATTGATGTTTCTTGATCGTATGAAAAGCTCAACTTGCTAAATTGGTCTTGAAAAGCTGTTTAAGGCTCTGCTATCTGCCCTCCTACCCCCTCCTTGCAGCTTTGTAAAATTTAGAAATGATTTTCTAAAAAATAGGTGACCTTATGGTGTTATTTATTTGAGTTGTTATAGAGGACTAGAGGCACGGTGCATGAATTTGTGCACCAATGCAGACCCTCAGCCTGGCCTATGAGATCAGGCCAAAACCAGTTCTCCGAGGAACCCCAGATTGCAAAAGGATGCAGGCCTGTCTGAGGGACCCCACCAATGCACAATCGGAGTGAGGAGGGATGCAGGAGATTGGCTAGCCGGGGAGGGATCATGTAAAGGCTCCAGGGTGTGTCTGGCCCATCTCACTTAGTTCCAGTGGGCCAGACCCCAGCAGCAAGCTAATCTACCAATCAGAGCATCTGTCCCCTGGTGGTCAGTTGAGCCATAGCGAGCAGTTGAGCATCGTTATCATATCATTAGCATATCACACTAACGGATGACTGGATGACTAGACACTTAGCATATTAGGCTTTTATTATATAGGATCGTTTTGACACCATTTTTTTAACCTTTTCATTAAGATCTTGGTAAGTGTTTTAGAAGGGAGAAAAAGCAGAATTAAATTTTAGTCTTTATAATTGATAAGTCAATTATAATAATATAATGTATTTTGAATTTAGGCCTTTTTAAGATATTAAATCCAGTTTTATCTTTATATTTAAGATATATCACCAACATACAACTAAAATAATAGTTTTAAGTTCAAATATATGTATGTTAAAATATATGAATAATTTATTCAGTAAGTTTATATTAGTATTATGGAGCTTAAGAATTCACGAAAACTTGCAAGTTTCCTGATACAAGGTTTGCTTGGTTTCGCTTTTTAATGGTTTTAGTGTTTATAATGTTCTGCAATAGCCAGTCCATAATATGTTGATTTAAAAAAATAAGAAGATATGAAAGTAATTTTCATTTACATAAACATATAAATAAATGTAATTATTTTTCCCAGTATTTGAAATACAAGTATTTAAGTTGTATCTTAAGAGATTTTTTTTTTTTTTACTTTGGTTTTGGTCAAATTTAAATATTTTTGACACTTAAGTATACAGTTGTAAATAGCTGATAGCCATTACCTTTCTTAAAAAGTCCTTTTTCTTCAATCCCAAGGTTTCGGCCTCATCAGGATGGTGACCCTGAAAAGCCACGTGTTGCTGCTGTAATTGACAGGCTCATAGCTTTTAAAAATAATGACCATGGAGCTTGGGTCAGAGGGGGAGACATTGTCGTCCAGAATTCAGCGTGGGTATTCTCTATAAAGTTATTATCTGGTGGCACTGGTCTGTGTATTTTTTAAAGCTATTTTGAAAAACCAAGTAGACTGAAAATACAGTTGATAGTTTCTGGAATCATATTATTGTTACTAAAAGACAGGGCAAGCTCCGAGAAAGTTTGCTAGCATTAACAGATGGCAAATGTTTGGAATAATCTCATTCGGCTGCTTTTATTGGACCTGAACTTGTCTGGTGACAGGAACGTTTTCTGATGAGACTGAACAGAAACCGGGAATTTAACTTTATATAACAAACAGGGTCTATGTCAGAGAGCTAAATAAAGATTTTGAAACCAGCTGGATGTTTTTCCTTCTTCTTGGAAAATCCATGTTTTTTGATGCTCTCTTACTGCCACTCAAAACAAAAGTTGTAAATTTCACCTTCGTGTGTTGACTTATGTCTTACCATGACTTGAGACAGTAAGCATCTCACTTTTTACCATTTGTGTAATTTTGGAAGTCTGATGAATATTGAGCTAAGATTTGGTGTTCAAGAGTCTAGAAAAACATTGTTTTCTGGCTTTAGCTTCTTGGCATTTTATCATCTCTGCCTGTTATCATGCAAAAAATATTATGTTAAATCTGTAGAAATAGCTTGGGTATTAATGTTGAAAAGTTTAGAGGAGACTACCATGATCTAATGGTTTTTAAAAGTAATTATTAGAAATAACAGTTCCAGCTAACACTTATATGCTCCTTGCTATGTGCCAGCCATTGTTCTATCAGGGGTGGGGGATGGCCCATGAAGTCATTTGGTCCGGCCTTGCCAACGCATTAGGGGTGAGTCAATTAAATGTTTGACCAAATATAGCAGGCTCGTTTTTTAAGTTGATAATCTTGTATGGGCCCTGAATGATCTTATAAATATCTAAATGGCCCTTGGGAGAAAACAGGATTCTCAGCCCTGTATCTAAATGGTTGAAATTAATTAGTATGTGTAATGCTCTTAAGTGTCCTATGAGGAAGATTGTTATTTTTTTTTTTTAACATAGAGTTGAGAAAACTGAGGGAGAGTCCAGTTGAGTAATATGCCCAAGATCACACAGCTAGTCATTAACAAAGCTGAGATTTAAACCAGGTGCCTTCTCTGTGGAGTCTGTGCTTTTAGTTATTGGGAGGTGAAACTTACTTTTGTGGTCTGGAAGAGTAAACATTGGAACCTCTTCTTACATGAAGTGGTAAGTTCAAGTCTTACGTTATCTCTGTTTTCTTACAGATTTGCAGATAATGGGATAGGACTAACCTTTGCCAGGTTTGTAATGTCTTTAAAAATACTTCTCTGATTAATTAATTTATTACTTCTGATTATTTTAAAGCTGTAGGTAAAATAACCCTTGATTTTTAAAATTTATTTAAATTTTTTATGGATAATACATCATAATGTTATACATTTGTTATCATTAAGATAAATTAGCACCTGCTTCCTGTTACCACTTGAGGGTCAAAAATACATTTTTAGTGACCAATTGAATTCATGCCAAAGTAGTAGGTTAATATAGCTGGAATTCCTAAGAAGGGTAGACTTATGTGGTTTTTTTTGTTTAGAAGAAAACACTTGAGCATTACATTAAAGATCTTAAAAATTATGGGAATAAAAAGGAAAGGAGTAGAAGTTGAGAACACATGAAATATTTTCTTTCTTCAAGGTTGGTCAAATTTCTCAGTGGTCTTTAAGAATTGGACTTTTTGTGTTAAATATTATTCTCTAGGTCAGTTACTCTTGCTGCCATCTTAAACATTAGATTCTAATTGTTGTATTCAGGGCACGTTTATTCTCCCTGTTCACAGTACTGTTGCTTGAGAATAAAATAATCAGGTGTTGCTGCTAAATTAAATTTCACTTATTTCAACCTAATTTGAAAACCACTAATTTACAATATAGTTAATTTGTATTAATTTTTAAGAAGCATGTTCACAGTTTAGAGGTACTTTCTGGTGACTCAGTATGTATTAGTTAAAGCTACTGGCTGCTTTGAAAACTTTTAGTTATTTGAGTTATACCTTGCCTTTATTTGAGGGTCAATATACATTTTCTAGAACTGTGTGGTTAATGGTTATTTTCATTTTAACAGTGATGGAAGCTTTCCAAGTGATGAAGGTTCTAGCCAGGAGGTGTCTGAATCTCTCTTTGTTGGAGAAAGTAGGAATTACGGCTTTCAGGGTGGTCAGAACAAGTACGTAGGCATGGGAGGAATAGACCAGAAGCCCCGGACATTACCCAGGAATAGGTAAGCATGGCTTTGGCGGTGGAGAGTTCAATTGAAACAATAAATGGAAACCTAATCCTTCTGGAAGTTTCTGTAATAATTCTGCATGATTGGTTCCCACTCTGATATTTTTTCCACCTGATCTTACTATTATTATAACTTATTGTTATTATCACTTAGTATTTGTGTATTACCCTCTAAAATTCTGGAGCATGAATGATAAATCTGGATTTTATGAATAATTTTATAATGAACCTATCTTTTTTTTTTTTTTTTCATTCCCTTTTTAAGGCTTTATAGAAACTGGTGATTTTTGACCCCTTTCTTTCTTGAGCCACAGAAAGTTGCCAAATCGTAAACTATGACATTTTGTCTGTTTTCCCTCAAATGGTGATGTTGGTTTTTAGAAATCGCCACTGGAAAAAGGAAATTACCGACTGAAAAGAGTCCTAGGAAATAAGGGCTGATCGATGCCAACGCTGACTCCAAACCTCGCCACGGCTGCATAATTAAGTGTTTCAGATGTTGAAGGGGGACGGGGTAGACCTTGGCATGCTTTCTGTCAAAATAATCTGAGTCATTAAAAAAGCATTCAGCACTAGAAAGATTCTTGGGCTTTTAGGGAACCATGAACGAATTCATCCATCCTCCGTTCCAAGACACAGTTTCTAGTTGTCCTCATATTACTGGTGAGAAAATGCGCCGGACGAAAACTAGTGTCAGGCTTCAGGAAGCCTCCGTTCCCTTAGGTGCTCATTCTATGCGGGCATTGGGCTAGGGTGGGCCGGGGTCATGGGGGCAGGTGGGGTTGGTGGAAGGGCTTCACCAGCGGAGGATGACCTGTGCTTGGCCCCTCTCTCCTGTGCTCGTCGTTGGAGAAATAATTCATTGAATGCCACGCTCTGGGTAGAACTCCTGGGAATAAGACCATGGAAGCTACTAGGAAAGGAACTTCATGGAGTTTTAATAGCTAGCATTTATATGCTTACGATGTATCAGGCCCTCTTCTGGGTACTTTATTATTCACTTAGTCCTCACAAAGCCCAATGGGATAGGTATTGGTATCATCCCACTTTATAAATCACTTAAGAAAAGGAGCCGCGGTGGGATTTCAATCCTGTTACGGTACTTGGGCTTCAAGGCTGTGCTTTTCACATTTAGGCTGTAGCTGCCTCTTTCAAGTGTCGATAAAAGGAAGGAGAGCTGTATTGCTTGGGGTAGAGGCTTCAATCTGATGGCAGCCAACTCAATTTCATTCTTATTTTACATGTTGACCTCCAGTTTTATTTCAAAATGCTTATTGCTTCCTTGCTTGGGAAGATTCTCCAGAAGAGATTCTTCATTGGTCAGTGGATCCAGTTTTTATTTTACTGTGTGTGTACAACCTTTTCTAGGGAAGAGAACCATTTTGGGATATATCCTTAGAGATACACGCAGACGCATGGACTTTCAGGAAGGCCCTTTGATTTGGTTGCTAGCATATATTGTTAAACACTGCCGAGTTGTAATCTAATTCGTTGCTGTAGAAATCCTCTGTCATGCCATCAAAAGAATTTAACAGCGGAGAAAACGATGGGATACAGAATATTATGGGTTTTGTACATTAATTATGGTTAATAATATATGATTAAGGAGTTTGTGTGTGAGCAGAAAGGAGGACAGTGAATAAAACCAATTTCTCAATCTAGCTAGCCTACTTTCATACTTCTAAGTATATCATTTCACCTTATCACTGTCATTTAGAGGCTTGAGAGGAGGTTCTCTCTGTTTAAGCACAGATTCATTTCTGTTCTCACATTAGAGATTTTGGAACCAAAACTAAAGTATGTAAGTTACCAGATAAAAGGTCTTCACTGGTAGACTCAAGGAAACAAAGGTCACCTCTTCAGACAGGCCTCCATTCTCTCTAAAATAGCTTCTCTCCTACCCCACTATACGATTTGCTATGTCTTGTCTCCATAGCACTTCTCTGTAATAATCCGTTGTTTTCCTTTTCCCACCCCTGTGTACATTTCAGGTGATCAGTTATCTTGTCTTGGTTGCCACTGTATTCTAGCATTGTGTTTTGTGTACACAGAGCAGTCACCTGTCTTTATGAGACAAGGACGGCAGGGAAGTGCTGCTAAGGTGACGGGCCCATGTGCATGAAACCAACTCTTGTTTTTCAACAGGACGTTCCCGATCAGAGGCTTTCAGATCTATGATGGGCCCATTCACCTCACCAGGTGCACTTTCAAAAAATATGTGCCAACTGCAGACAGGTATACCAGTGCTATTGGCTTCCTCATGAAGAATTCCTGGCAGATAACCCCCAGAAATAACCTGTCCCTCGTGAAGTTTGGTCCACATGTAAGTATGTTCTTCTGGTTCCTCTACAGTCACTGTGGTGGGAGGAGGAGGGCTAGCACATCCCCAAAGACAAAGACAGAAACAAAGGATTCATACCAAGCCTTTATGACTGGGGGCAGAAACATATGCAAAAGAAAGTTTTAAAACTTGTTATTCTTTCTGTCCCATTGAGTTCAAGGTGAGAATTAGAAGTCCCAGGTGATCTGGGGTATTTTTTAAAAAAATATTCAAGTGATATCTTAGAAAAGAAAATAACCTAAATTGATGGCAGGGATTGTAGCATTTTATAAGAACAAGAGGACATGGTTTGGGGAAATTCAGTGTAATGATCTGAGAAGAGATTTGGAATCTGCCTAGAATTGTCCTTGTCTGGGGTCTACAGCTGGGGAACTTCAGGAGAAACCTGGGGAGAGAAGAGGAATGAATACTGGGTGGTATGAAACCAATTGTTTTATCCAGAGGTTTTCCTAGTGCTTGGCTCCTGCCCCCTGTTCCTGTTGTTGGGAAATATTGAATGTCCTTCTGAACTAGGCTTCTGTAAAACCATGAAAGCTACTGGGAAAGGCACTCAATGGAATTTCATTAGCTGATATTTATTAAATGCTTAGGACATAGCAGACCCTGTTTTATTACTTTATTATTCACACTAAAGAAATACTTAGACTGTTTTAATTGGGAACTAGGAGAAGACATGTGAATAAGTAACTAAAGCACTTGAAGAAAATGATTAACTAGTTTTGAAGTTAGAACTTATAATAGATTTTTATTTAATGAAGATATAACTTATATACAGAAAAATGAACAGATCTTAAGTATAACATTTATAATTTAAAAAAATCTTTATTGTTGACAGTATTGCAGATATTCCTTCTCCCCTCTCTCCTCCCTTTCTTGCTCCCTCCACCCACTTCCTGCCCCAACCCTGGCCTTTACCACTATAATGTCTGTTCATGGGCAATGTATATATGCATATAAGTTCTTTGGTTAATCTCTTTCCACCCTCTAAAGTTTAATGTGTATGACTGCTTAATTCCCTTCCCCACAGTTCTAATTTCTCTTATTGCAGATTAGTTTTGTCTGGAGAGCAGGTAATAGTTTTAACTGGAAGAAAGGGAAACTGCCAGAGATCAAGTTTAACATTTGCTACTTGAACTCCACAAGGCTTTGGAAAAATTCCGCCCCCCCTTCCCCAGGCTTATCATAACCAATGGACATCTTTGATTGACTGGGTGCCTTGATTGACAACTGTGAACTGTCACTCAGGACTGTTTTAATCTCCAAGCAGTTGGAATGGATATGCAGTAGGATCCTCGCAGTGGGTGCTGACTAAGACGGCAGGAGCCCTCATTTTGGGATGTCCTTGTTTCTCACCATCCTCAGGTCTCTCTGAATGTCTTCTTTGGGAAGCCTGGCCCCTGGTTTGAAGACTGTGAGCTGGATGGTGACAAGAACTCCATATTCCACGACATCGATGGCTCTGTGACAGGATACAAGGACGCGTACGTGGGGAGAATTGACAACTACCTGATCCGCCATCCTAGCTGTGTGAACGTGACCCAGTGGAACGCGGTGATCTGCAGCGGGAGCTACGCCCAGGTAGGCCGGGATGTGTGAGGATGCCTGCTTCCTTGCCAGCTCCTGACTGACATCACTGCTTCTGTGAGGCGTGCTCCTCAGCTCTTCAGTGTGATGGACACTCTCCAAAGCAAGATTTTCTCAAAAAGGTGAAAGAGCCAGCTGGTGTTGCTCAGTGGTTGAGCGTCAACCTATGAACCAGGAGGTCACGGTTCGATTCCCAGTTCAGGGCACATGCCCAGGTTGCCGGCTCGGTCCCCTGAAGGGGTGTGCAGGAGGCAGGATCAGTGATTCTCATCGTATGTTTCTATCTCTCTCTCCCTCTCCCTTTCTCTCTGAAATCAATAAAAAAATATATATTTTAAAAAGTGAAAGAAAAACATTCAGTAGGAACCATGGGCTCATAGAATTTTATGTCAAGGATCCCTGCTTCACACCAACGTGGAAATACTGTGAGTCCGAGAGGGGTGAGGTGATTTGCCCTTGATTAAATATGGTTGGGATGTAGCTGGGGTGAGAACCTTTTCTGAGTTTTAGGCCAGGTTTTTGCCATGCTACAGCTCTGCCCCAGAGAGGGGGCTTTACTTCCTTGCAGGGTGATTATCACTACTAACTATGGGAATCTGTTTGTGGGGCAAGAAGATCAGTATCTCATGGAAAGTGGAATGTTTCCAGAGACAGAGCTAGGAATTGGAAATCAGTGGGCAAGGAGACATTCAAGGAAATTCTTTGAATGATATAACGATATGATATTTATGAAATTATGAAAGGGAGGATATAGACTGTGAAACACTTCTTTGGAAACCTTATCTAGTGTGCATGTGTTAACTGGGTGCCAAGTAGAAGAGGGTGGATGAATTTGGGAGGTAGTACGTTAAGAGCACGAATACTTGAGCCAGACGGGCTGGATTTGAATCCTGGCTTGCTTTTGCCTTAAATATGAGTTGAGTGATTTAATAACCATTCTGTTTCTTTTGCACAATGAGGGTAATGCTGATGAGAAGATAGAATGCACAGATATATGTAAAGCATTTAGCCCCTGGCTTGGCAGTGTTTGCTGCAAGGAGTATTATTTGAGAGGCAGAGTTCTATGCGGCAACAATTATTTGAATAGTGACATTTGGATAAATAGAGAGGTTGCAGATGGGGGTACCAGTTGCCCAGAATTTTGAAGGAAGCCGTTTTATTTCCATATCTTATGTAATTAAATGGCAAGATTTAACACTAGACAGTCAAGGGAGATAAAAGATAAGGGCAAAGGAGAATTAAGAGCATAGACCGGAGAATGAGGGAAAGAGCAAGGGATCTTCCAGGGGGAATTGGGCTCTGCTAGTCCCACAGCAGGAAAGAAGCCCGCCTATTGGTTTGCTTCTAAATGCTCTTATTTATAGGGAGGGTTTTTCTTGGGGAAGGACCGGCCTGTGGTGAAGGCCCTTCCCGAGCTCTGGCTACTCTGCCTGTCGAGGGTGTGTTCACAGGGTCCTGCATGTCAACTTCTTGAGGTTACTGTGGTTTCCACCACGAAAACCTGGAGTGGGAGCTTCTGGGAGCAGAATTCTTCATTGCTCTTCTGATTTTGAATCGTGACTGCTAAAGAACGCTATGACTCTTAAGTTAAAACTCACACACACTTTACAAAGATTTTTATCGATAGGTAAGACACAAGGACTTAAGAAGAATAAAAGACCGGAGATATTTTTCTGGTTTATTTTAATGTAATATTAGCTTCCTTGTTGTGGGCTTTCTTATTCCCATTCATTTTAGCCATAATCACCCCCTAAAATGTAGTTGACTCATCAATACCCAGGATGCGATAGAAATTCTAGAATTAAAATAAAATTAAAACAAAAAGATTTTAGTGCTTTGGTAGCTGCATTTTTAAATTTCTTGTGAGCCATGTGTATGCAAGGCTGCCTTTGTGTATCTGTCTTAAAATGGGGTGTGCTCACTAATGAAAACTTTGTATTTTAAAATTATTATAAATGGGTCTATAAACTCTTTGGTTTATGATGTAGTTGGGACTTGAACCTGATCCTTCTATCTTACAAACCAGGGTAGTAATTCTATTTTATTTGGAGATGAAGAAAGAGACAAGTCATCTAATACTTCCCAGGTGGCTCTGGGATGATAGGACTACAGGTTAGAAATTTTCTCCTGAGAATTTGGAATTTGACCTGGGAGCTCAGATCTGCAGCCATTTGTTGTTACTGAGCTGATGGATAATACTACGTCTTTATAGGTAAAAGATAGAAGCACGGACCTCAAGGCAAAACAAACATTATTTAGCTATTTGTAAACTGATGTTAAGTGAATATCTGCTCTTTGCTGATCCAAAGGGTAAAGGAGCTCAGGACGAAAGATGATAACATAAGGAGAATTGAGGTTACATGTGATACCTCAAATCCTTGGAGGAAGGCTATGTATTTATATAACCTAACATTTATATAACTTATTCTATGTAAACTATTTAGTTATATATAATATAAACATTTTAGTTATATATAACAAATTTATTTAAGTAAATAATATGTACAATATATTAAATATATTAAAGACATTAGTCTCAAAATATATATTTCCTATCTATTTATTCTAAACTTTTAAGTTGTATTAGTAGAGAAGAGGACAGTGTTGAAGTAGCCAAACATAAATGAGAGTTCAGAAGATTTTCTGCTTCAAAAGATGTATAATTGAGGAATCAATTGTGGACAAAACTGTAGAAATGACCAAAAGAGAAAAACAGAAGTATTGTGGATTAAATAAATATTCTGCAGATGTTTTAATACTTCTGGGGAAATCTGTTACAGGATACTAATTTGTTTTTTTTTAATTTGTTTTTTGTTTCTTTTTTTAAGAGAGAGAGTAAGGGAGAGGGAGAGAGGACAGAGGACAGAGACACACAGAGAGAGAGGGAGAGAGAGAAAAAGAGAGAGAGAGAGAAAGAGAGAATGAATATCATGTGAAAGTGGAACAGCTATCGGCTGCTTCCTGCACATCCCCTACTGGGAAGTGAGACCAAAACCCAGACATGTGCCCTGATCGAGGATCAAGCAGGCAACCTCTTGGTGCATAGGACAATTGCCCAATCAACTGAGCCACACTGGCCAGAGCAATACTCATTTGTTTCAGGAAATTGTTCTGAGGTTTGTTTTGAGGGAAGGCTTTGTTTTGGCACAGCAAGGAGCTCATGCCACTGGAACAAATTCAGGACTTTCAAATTTGTCTCGGTTTAATGTGTTTTTCCAGTTTTTGCAGAGTGCTTTATAACCCTTTTTCCTTTGAAAAATGACTTATTAGGCTCATGTAGATCATGGAAAATTGCAAGCCCAAACTCTAAGGTATTTACATTTTCCCTTTCTTGCGTTCGAGGAAAGTCTCTCGGATTTGAGTTAGAGGGTATCCATTTTCACATTAATTTACTAATTTCTTATATGTGCATTCTTCAGATTGAGGGATTTTTTTGGACAGGCTGCATAAGCCACAAAGGTTTTATATTCTGATGAATAAGCTGGCCCGTTGTGGTGGAAGAGATGATGACGGTCTTGGCTAGCAGAACGCATGGTCTGTTTTTACCATTCCAGTTTAAGCAAGCTTCATTGTATGTGTGGCTTAGGATGAAGTTGGCTACTCCTCATTTAGTCTGGCACAGATCACAGAATCTCTCTCTCTCTCTTTCTCAACGAGACACTTGGCTTTGTGCTGGAAATGCTTGTTTGGCTCTCTAAGTGTTCATGCTCTTCCCCATGATTCTTCATTTATTTTTTGAAGGTCTATGTGCAAACGTGGAGCACTCAGAATCTGACAATGACCATCACACGAGATGAGTACCCATCCTACCCGATGGTGCTTCGTGGCATTAACCAGAAGGCTGCCTTTCCCCAGTACCAGCCGGTGATCATGCTGGAGAAGGGCTATACCATCCACTGGAACGGGCCAGCGCCGAAGACTGTATTTCTATACCTCATAAATTTCAACAAGTATGTTCCCAATATTTTTATTTCACATAGCTGAGCGAGTAGGAATCTAGTGGAGAAAAATAATAACACACCACCTTTGTAGCAAGTAAGGATGCCGGTTTCTTGTACTACATTTCTCTTATGGGGAGGATATATATATATTTAATATATTTTATTGATTATTACAGAGAGGAAGGGAGAGAGATAGAGAGTTAGAAACATAAATGAGAGAGAAACATCCATCAGCTGCCTCCTGCACGCCCCCTACTGGGGATGTGCCTGCAACCAAGGTACAGGCCCTTGACCAGTATAGAACCTGGGACCTTTCAGTCCGCAGGCTGATACTCTATCCACTGAGGCAAACTGGTCAGGGAAGGCTGTCTTATTTTATGTGTATGGAATTAGAAGATTACACAAATTGAATCCTTTCCTTTTGAAAGCATTTCTGTTTCTCTGTGATCAGGGTATTGTGTACAGAAAGCCATTTAACAATAGGGTCTCATATTGTCTGCTGAATATTTTAATTCCCCTTAGTTGGGATGAGAGGAAGTTCTCTGTGTTGTTCCAACTGAGCACTGAGTTACCTAGGAAAGAAAAAGGTTTTTGAGGCCAACGTTAGATTTGACAGAAGAGAGAGGTGTGGTTGGTTAGTAGTGTCTGCTATGGGTAAGAGGTGGAAAAGTAGTGGCATGAATGCCAGGTATTTGCCACTCCTGCCTGATTTCTATCGCTTCTTGATTTCCCAGTTGTCTGTCTTAACAATACTATTTACAGTCGAAGGCTCTGTTTGTATAGTAATTTATTCAAGCGTTTACTGTGTACCAGAAAATGATGAGAGAGAAAAGTACTTGCCCTCTAGGAGCTCACAATATACAGGTAGAAAAAAACCCCTCAAGAATCAATAGAGCATCTAATTCTAGCCTTGAGGAGTTGGGCCTGGCTGTGCTGAGAAAGTGATGCTAAATGATCTGTCTTGGTACAAAAGCAACAGAATTGGGGAAGGGCTAGTTCTGTTCGGGAACTGTTGGATGAAGTGCCATGGGAGCATAGGGTGTGACAGGAGATGAAACCAGGAAGGAGTGATGGGCCTGGTAGGGCAGAGTTACATCAGTCTAGACATGTGTGGTGGTTAACCAGTGGGACTCCATGAAACTGTTCAGATATGTATCTGAAAAACTGAAATGGCTTATTCACCTGACTGGTCATAAAGAGCTGCCTTTTCTGAGCACTCTTAAAACACACAACTGAAAGGAAGTGGTGGACATAGGACATTCAGTGCTAAGTAGGTCACTTCCAAGGACTGGTGAGCCCTTGGAAGTGACCTACTGAGCTGTGAGATTTCTGGCACGAGCTCCACACGGAATCATTCCTGTTTTTCCTGTGACACTTGCTGCTTCTTGTGGGTGTTTCTCTCTTTCCTGCATCCAGCACGGAAAAGGAGCGGGTCCGGTTCCTGAGTGGAGGCAGCTGGGGATTAAGAAATAAAAGAAAGAAAGAAACCAAGACGCAGAAATAGAAGCAAAGCTGGGAGCCGGGTGTGACACTGCCTCTCTGATGGAGGGACAGGGACCCAGAGCCAATGCAGATTGTTTATTTATATCCCCAAATACCAGGGGGTTTCACTAACAGTTAAGATCAAAGGAGATTATTTGCATTCTTGAGTAGGCCTGAGCATTCCTGGTACTTAACTGGATTTACATATCAAAGTCACAATCCCTGACACCTGGGCAAGGTTAAAAGTTAGTACTGATGATAACATGTCCAGCCTTTTCTGGGGAAGCATGTTTCCAGGGCGTGGCTCTGCCTGTCACCCTGAGTTCAGCTGACAATAAATTAAAGAAATGCCCCAAGTGCCTTCCCAGGAGGCCCTCTACAGCTTCTCTGTATCCTTGCTGGAGAGTTGCACCTTTACCTATGGAGCCAACCAAGCCCAAAGTCCCAGGAATCATCCTTCTCTCTTCCTTTCCCCTTATTTCTTCATCTTGTCAGTGACCAAATCCTGTCAGTTCTGTCTTTAATGCTGTTGATATCGCTCTACCTTTTTCTACCTCCACTGTTGGTGGTTGAGTTTAGGCCATTATCATCTCTAGTATGGATGCTACTGGGTCTCCCCACCGCCAATCCACAGTCCACGTTGTGTCTAGGGTGAGGTTTCTGAAAGCCAATCTGGTATTATCACTCCCATCAGTGAGCTGCAGAGCAGTCAAAGAGACAAATGAGGTTGGAGAGGACTTATAAGAAATATAAAAACTTAAATCTGGCAGGTTATGAATTTTAGGCAAGATACTACAATCAAATGTTATGTAGGGTTCTGGTCAGTGTCATGCATAACTTCTAAACAAATACCAAATGAAAACATTATAAAGTGAAAAAAAGGCCGAACCCAGAAGTTACAAAAATCCACATGGTCTCGCAGTTCAGTCAGACTTTCCTTGTTTAATTAGCTGAAAGTTTGCAAAAATTACATCATGGACAAGAGGAGGAGGTGGACCATCTTATTTTCCAAATTTAATATAATTATAAAGAGGTCATAGATTTTGTCACTTTAAGAGTTATAAAAGCTCATTAAACAAAATATGGAAAATACAGAAAAAATAAAGAAAATTGAAATAACCTATAATTTTCTTAAACAGGGTGAGGCATTATAACAATTATAGTGCTCTCTCTCTGCCCTCAACTATTTTCTGAGCATATAGAGATATCAAAATTTATTTAACTACTGCCTTTCCCCATAGATATTTAGGTTGTTTTTCTCCTGCCCACTCCCACTTGTTATTATAAATATACCACAGAGAACATGTTTTAATGCATTTTGGTCTGCATTTCTAGTTACTCTTTAGTGGTTTTAGTGGGTTAAACCTTTGTAACAATTTTAAGGCCAGTTACTTACTGTTCAAAAATTCTTTTAAATGATTGAAAAGTTCTGGAAATGGGTAGTGGTGATGGTTGCACAACTTTTGAATATACTTAATGCCACTGAACTGTATGGTTAAAATAGCTAAAATGATAAATTTTATATGGTGCATATTTTACCACAATTAGAAAATTCCCCCTCCCCCAAAAGCAAATAATAAAAAATATTAATTTTATGTCTAGGGATTTTTAGGTAAGAAAAAAAAACTTAGTGTCAATTTGGTCATATACATCAAAGGTTTAAAAATATACATACTTTTGCCCTGACGGATGTGGATCAGTTAGTTGGAACATTATCCTGTGAACTAAAGGGTTGTGGGTTCAATTTCCAGTCAGGGCACATGCCCAGGTTTGGGTTCAGTCCCTGGTTGGGATGCATGTGGGAAGCAGCTGATTGATGTTTCTCTCACTCCCTCTCTCTTCTTCTCTCTAAAGTAAATAAAAACATATCCTCAGGAGAGGATTAAAAAAAAAAAGAAATACACATACTTTTATATCCAGAGATTTTATCACTAAGTACTTACCCTAATCCTATATAATATAAAGGCAATACGCAAATTGAGCATCACTCTAGCACGCAAGATGACCGTCCTTATGTGGTCAAAGATGGCCACCCCCTTATGGACATAAGATGGCCATCACAAAATGGCCAGCAGGGGAGGGCAGTTGTGAGCGATCAGACCAGCAGGGGATGGCAGTTAGGGGTGACTGGGCCAGCAGAGGAGGGCAGTTGGGGGTGATAAGGCCTGCAAGGGAGGGCAGTTAGGGGCAATCAGGTCAGCAGGGGAGCAGTTATGCATCGATGAGACTGGCAGTGGAGTGGTTAGAGTCAGGCAGGCAGGCAGGTGAATGGTTGAGAACTCACAATCCTAGATTGTGAGAGAGATGTCTGACTGCCCTTGAGGGGCCCCAGATTGGAGAAGGTGCAGGCTGGGCTGAGGGACACATCCCCCACCCCCATGCACGAATTTTGTGCACTGGGCCTCTAGTGTAGTAATAAAAGACAAAAATGTATTTATGGACAAAAATTTTTTTGGAAAGATTTTACTAATGTGTACTTCTACTGTCTTTCTAGTGATATTTCATCCAGCTTACTACATGTCCAACCATCTTAATTTTATTATCCACTCGCAGGGTCAAAGTCTATCTTACCCAACTTCTGTTCATATTCCTATAAGTCCTGTCAAAACCAAGAAGTTTCAATAAGCCATATGATTGTTATTGATAAGAGCAATTGGGGAAACATTTAAAGGTCAGGGCTCAGGATTTCCACCATTAGTGGCTCAATGCACAGCAGAAATTTAAGGAGGAGAAAACCATGGCTAGTGTTTACATATGCTATAATGCCCCAAATATATTGGCTCAAATGTGAATTCATGTTTTAATTTTCTTTTCTTGATAGGGATGACTGGATTCGAGTTGGCCTCTGCTATCCATCAAACACAATTTTTCAGATTACTTTTGGCTTTTTACAGCGGCATAATGGCTCGTTATCCAAAATGGAAGATTATGAGCCTGTGAATTCACTGGAAGAATTGCAGAGGAAGCCGTCTGAGAGGAAATTCTATTTTGACTCCGGCACGGGGTAATTCAGTGTGACCAGCAAATGAGAATTATTGCTGTTTTTCTTTAATGGAGAAATTACTGGTTCTTCAGCCTAACTAAGAATAGACTATGATGTGATGGCTCTCTAGACAAGCAGCTGATGTGGGTAATTCTCTGCTCATCGCTATTAGAGGCCTAGAGAACTAGAATGACTCATAATTATAGTTGACAGTAGGAGCTGAGTGAAGATGTTTGCTGTATACCTATTAAGGCGATTTAGAAAGAGAAATTATCCTTGTCAATAAAGAACCAGTAGGCCCAATAGGAACTTAAACTAATTTTTTTCCTATAACAACTCTTGTAAGATGATTGTTTACATATGATATAGTTCATATTTCAGTGAAAGCTCATTTTTCTATTCCTTAAAGCTCTTTCTCTCTCAAGTTGACCTTGAGTTTTTAAAAATCACTGTATAACCCTGGCATATTTGCTTTCAACTCTCTCTAGGCTGCATCTTTCCACTTTTTAATTCTAATCCTGTTCTCCTGGGGTCCTGTTGGCTTTGTCTGCTCTTATCCAGTTACAGTCTCTCAGCCTTTGGGTGATGGTAGGCTCGATCTCCTGTACTCTTCCAGCAACTAGCATGCTCCTTAGCCCTTCCTTAAGCTGACATTCCTCCTACGCCATTGTCTAGGCACCTTAGTAAAAACACTAATGTAAATAAGATGCATTCCCTCTGCGAATGCATAGCCCACTGAAGGATGTGGGCATGTAAAGCAGGTGACTGGAGAGGGAAGAAATTAAGTGCTAAAAGCCCTATTATGGGATGTTCAGTGTGCCTTTTGAGGTGACCCAGAAGTTCAGCCTAAGGTAACCAGTGACATCCCAAGAGCGTGGCACTGGGACAGACTTTTGAATGAGTAGGAGGAGACAAAAAAGAGATGGGTGAAGAGCAATGTGGACGGATGCATGGAGGCATGGGAGAACGTGGCATGGCATGTTTGGGGGAAGACAAAGGTTCCAATTGGGGTGAGGGTGGCAAGTTTGATTTTGGGGGACAAGGTTGGGGGTTCAGGCAAGTGCCTTGTTAGCCTTTGAATGAAATGCAACTTATTTGCTCTCCAGGGCCCCTCCAGCAGTCAGTGTGGTCAGCTTAAAAAAAAAAAAAAAAAAAAAAAAAAAAAAATATATATATATATATATATATATATATATATATATATATATATATATATACATACACACACACACACACACACACACACATATATAATATTTTAATCCTAGTTGTCTTTGATTTTCAATTTCTAATTAGACTTAATCTGCTTGGGCTTTTACTCTGTACACGACAGAACTTCCGCATTCAGTTGACTTTTCACGAAAATAAATAGAACAACCAAATTTGTAAGGACATTCTGGTGATCACAAATTAATGATTACATGTGTAAAAGGATGGGAAATGTGTCATCATCTGGGTATTTCTAAAATCCCTCTGCCTTTGGGGTTTTAATTTTTTAAAATTACATTTATTTTGATGATTTTAATTGTCAGAAGGTCCATGCTAATCAGGCTAGTATCATTCCTTACAGATATATGCTAAAATTACTGGATGCTGGGACAGTGGCTGATTTTTACCTCAAAATTGCTACTTGACCTCGTATTAAAATGGGAATTTTTGACTTCAGTAATTGATTACATTTGATCAAGCCTTTAGAACATTGACTTCCTTTGCTCTAGAAGGACTAGATTTGCTGACAGATGTTGGACTGTTTCCTAGAAGTTACTTTTCCATTCATCTTGGCAGTAGGGGGATAATTCAGAGTCCTCGGACTGCTCACTTCATTTGATTTTGGCCATAGTACAGACAGAAGGACCTCAGGCCCATCTGCTCATAGTCAACGTCGCAGGAATTGATTTGAAACCATTGCTTTTTGAAATTGACTTGAAGCCAAATGAAACACAGTTGCTGTTCTTATTCAAATTTTGTGCCATAAACCAAAATGATTTATAAACCCCAAAAAAAGAGAAGAAAAACTTGCTGATTTACCAAATTCTAAACTCAATGCAAGTATAAAGTTTCCCGAGGAATTCTTGAGCCAAGCCAAATTCCAACCTCCCAAATCACCTGTTGAACTTAATTTAAACCAGAAATCAACTTTCATATCTTCTACAATGATTGAATCAGGCTACCAAAATATTTTCTGAGGAATGGAAAGGGGGCCTAAGAGGATAGAAAGGAAAGAGAAACAACTTTACTAGTTTTATAATGTAGTTTTCTTTGAGGGCGAGAACTTACCTTATTAGAGAAAGATACCTTTTAGCGAGGAGTTAAGTTTTTGTAAGTTTTCTGGAGGTGGTCTAACACCCAATGGGTCGCTTTCTGTGTCGCCCAGGTTGCTGTTTCTGTATCTGAAAGCCCAGGGCCACAGGGATGGCCACAGTTACTGCTCATCTCAGGGATGCGAACGAGTCAGGATCCAGGCGGCAACAGACTCAAAAGATACCAGTAACTGCATGGCCAAAGCATATCCCAAGTATTACCAGAAGCCTTCCGCCCTCAAGCGGATGCCAGCCATGCTCACCAAACCCTGCCAAGGCTGCGGGACCCACCAGGTAAACGCGTGGGCTGTGGCCTGGAAAAAGGTCGGAAGGTTCTTTGCAGTGGGCGCATTTTTTGGGGGAAACATCTATCCGGCGAATTTGGAAATGTGGCGTGGTTTCTCCTGAACTTTGGCACATGGTAGAATGCGGTGCTCATAAGAAGCAACCTTGTTCCAAATTATAATAAAGATGCCTTCCTTCTCTGATACATCAGTTTGCCCTGCATGACTGGATTTATTTGCTGTCATCTTCTCCTTCTCAGATGTGATTCTGCTGCACTGTTGTTCCTGGGTTTACATGTCAGGGATGTGGAAAATGTTTTGTTTTCTTGGCAGTGTGATGTTTCCCTTCGGAAAATGCAACTGCTGGAGATGGTTTTATTTTGCTAAGGTGGAGAGTTCCAACTTCATTTGGAAGCAAATGCTATTTGTTTACCTGTAATTAAAAGGACAAGCTGGCTCCAGTTAGTTATAAGTGAAATACTCCTCCTGAAGTATTTTTAATTAGCTGTTCTTCTTTTGGATCTTGAAAAAGCATTGCAATGAAAGGAAACTCAAAAATCAGGCACTGTGTTCCTTCCGAAGGAAGTCCGATCAATTCCAAGTACAAAAGAGGTGTAGCATTCACTAATAGTTAATCTTTATGTAAACAGATATGGGTTAAGGGGAATGGTTCTGAGTGTGGACCCCTAACCAGCAGCAACAGAAGCGCCAGGGGGCTTGTGAGAAATTGGAATTCCTGAGCCCAATTCCAATCCTGCCCAACCAGAAATTTCAGGGCTGGGACCTGCCAGTCTGGGTGTTAACGAGCCCAGCAGGGGATTCTGATACGTGTCCACATTTCATTGGGCTAGAGAATTTTTTAAAAAGCAAGAATTGCCACAGAAATATACATGCTGCATTTAGACCTGATAATGCACAAGGCAACTAAAGGTTCTCAAACTTCTCATCTATACTCTCTTGAGTCCCAGTTCAGAATACTGGTGTGAAAAGAATCTTCAAAAAGATTTGTGACTGTGTTTGCATAAAATGTTTACAAAGATGTGCATATAAAACACTTTTATGTGGTCATTTGTAGAATTGACTTTATTTATTTATTTATTTTTTAAAATATATTTTATTGATTTTTCACAGAGAGGAAGAGAGAGGGATAGAGAGTTAGAAACATCGATGAGAGAGAATCATCGATCAGCTGCCTCTTGCACACCCTCTACTGGGGATGTGCCCGCAACCAAGGTACATGCCCTTGACCGGAATCGAACCCGGGACCTTTCAGTCCGCAGGCCGACGCTCTATCCATTGAGCCACACCGGTTTCAGCAGAATTGACTTTATTAACAAGATCACAACTATTTGAAACTTGTTATTGTTCCAGAAAACGAGGAACAAAACCTTCTCATAGAAATAGGTATAAAAGTTCAGGAAATAACTAGTTTGCCCTGGCTGACGTGGCATGTGCCCAGGTTGTGGGTTCAATTCCCGGGGTGTACAGGAAGCAGCTGATTGATACTGTCACATTGATTTCTCTCCCTTTCTCTCTCTCTCAAAATCATTTAAAACAAAACAACTGATTTGTTATAATTGAGCTTCTTTTGAGGCATCCTTTTGGAGGCAGATGAAATTGACATAAATGTGACACCTTTTTCTCTGTTTAGGTGGTGTTTACCAGTGATCCTCATAAAAGCTACCTCCCTGTGCAATTCCAGTCACCCAGTAAGGTGGAGACTCAGCGCGGAGACCCGTCTGTCATCTCTGTGAGTACCATCTGGCGTGTCCACTGCTCCAGCTTCTCACTTTCATGTGTCACCCCGGTGACATCAGTTATTTTTGGCAACAGTCATTTGTTTGTGATCACATTTTGGTTATGGGTGGCAAGCGATACAATAGAGATATAAATATCTCCTAAATATTTACGTGTTTAGGTAAATATATTTTTTAAAATTTTTGTCTGTTTAGCGATACCTTTTAGGTAAACGTTAAACTGTTCACACTACCCTTCATGCATAATAGTGTTACAGGCGACCCGGGTTTCATTTTTATAAGAGAAAAGGCATCTTGGGTTAAAAAATAATTGCCACAGGCAATCAAAATGTAGAAAACTGTGTTCAACCTTGGTGTTTGAAACTTAAAAAAAGAACTTTCAAAGTTGTTTGTTTAACATGTGGGCAGTGAGTTTTAGAACTTTTCCTTGGCCTTTTCGTATGAGGTTCCCTGGCTCCCAGTTTTCCGATGAGGAAAGTGAAGATGCAAAGTATTGGTTGTCTTTCCCAAGTGGGGTAAGAAGTGCAGGCCTGAGCCTCAGTGTCAGCATTAGAATGTGGGCAAAGAGCCAAGCCAGCCAGTGCTAACCAGCTCTTGGCATGTGGCCTGTCCAAAATCCGGCTGACTTGAGTGCCGCCGTATAAAGAGCTCCTTGGAGAGGAGATATCTAGCCATCCAGCTATATATATATAACACACACACACACACACACTATATATATATATATATATATATATATATATATATATATATATATATATATATATTTATTTTATAGAAAGGAAGGGAGAGGGATAGAGAGCTAGAAACATCAATGAGAGAGAAACATCGATCAGCTGCCTCCTGTATATCTCCCACTGGGGATGTGCTCACAAACCAATGTATTGAACCTGGGACCTTTCAGTCTGCAGGCTGATGCTCTATCCACTGAGCCAAACAGGTTTCGGCAGCTTTTTTTTTTTTTTTTTAAGTGGTGGGCATTTACAAATTCACATAAAGGTGGAAAAATTTCAATCTTACTCTCTATTTTGTTCTCAATTTTTCATCGTGTTAAAATATACATAACATAAAATTCACTATCTTCATCTTTGTTAAGTGTGCAGTTCAGTAGTATGAAATACATTCATTTTGTGTAACCATCACTTTTCACATGCATCTCCAGAACATAAATTTGACTTTTTGACAACTCTGAGTTGAGAATATCCCCACCAAAGGGGAGGGTGAAATGGGGAGCATTTTTTAATCAACAGGCGTAAAGTTTCAGTTGAGTAAGATGGGTAAGCTCTCCAGGTCCAGCTTGGTGTCTGGAGGGACTCAGTTGTTAAAGGAAGCAAGAGCTGGGTGCCCACTGTAATACTAAATCACTAGATAAATATTTTTAAGTTACAATAGAGTGTTGTATAACATTATGTTAGTTTCAGGTATACAACATAGTGATTTTACATTTATATATCTTAGAGGTCCAGTGCACAAAATTCGTGCACAGGGTGGGGATCCCCTCAGCCCAGCCTGCACCCTCTCACAATCTGGGACTGCTGGCTCCTAACTGCTCACCTGCCTGCCGGCCTGATCACCCCTAGCTGTCCCCACCTGCCGGTCTAATTGCCCCCAACTTTCCCCCTGCTGACCTGGTCACCCCCAATACTCTACCCCTCCCCCCACTGGTCTGGTCACTCCCAACTGCCCCCCCCCCCCCCCCCCCCGCCAGCCTAGTCACCCCATGCAGCCTGCTCTTCAGTCATTTGGTTGTCCTTCACTAACTCCCCTGTCGACCTGGTCGCCTCATGCAGCCTACTGTTCAGTAATTTGTCCGGTTGTTTTGGTCATGATGGCCCCTGGCTTTTTATATATTAGGATGATATGATTACTAGGATATATCTAGTAATCATGTCACTGAACAATATTTTATTGATTATATTCTCTGTGCTATACAGTCACTAGATAATTAAAGAATATATTGTTTTGCCCAGAAACCTCCGACTGGCCATGCCACAGGGTCTGAAGGCACTGTTTCACTCTATTGCTATATACTTTAGGTGCCTAGGAATGTAGAAAAGACACAGGACATGTTTTTTTGTCATATTTACCAGTAGTACTTTTCACATGCATTTCCTGAAAAGCCTTTGCTAGGACATGGCATTGCTTTATCTGTTTTCTTTTTTTTTTTTTTTTTAATTTATTATTATTATTATTATTATTTTTTTATGGAAAGTGTTTTATTTCCTTTAAGCTTTAGGTTTTGGGGTGGGACAGTTTGAGTGTGTTGAAGATCATTTTATATTTCCCCCCAAATATATCTCAATTTTAAGTATTCAAATTTTTATTTTTTGAAATAAATAAGAAATACCTTTTGTTGCATTTCTAAAAATTTAATTTAAAAATTTTCATCACCATTTATACTCTCCATGCCCCCTCCCACTCTCCCTCACCACACACACACAATCACCAACCACATTGTTGTCCATGTCAGATTTTTAGAAATAAGAGAATCACTTATAGTCTTTCCAAATCTAAAATGGTACTTAGTTTACTTGAAGCATTTACAGAACCATCCTCTGGATTAGATACATTTAAACACAGCTAAAAGGCCATTTTGCTTTCTGGCAGATCAGATTAGAAATAGTGATTAGAAATGAAATTTAAATATAATTTCTCCCAGTGAGAATAAGGGATAGTGGTGACTGTATTTCTCCTTTATTAGCTTTTGGTATAGTTTATAATTTTAAACAGAAACAGTGCTTAATTCAGTATTGAATCATTTTTCAGTCTAATAAGTTCTTTTTATTCCTTTCTGGCTGAGAAATGAATGAATTTGGATGTGTTTAGAATTCAATTTTTTAAAGGTATCAAACTGTTCTTTTAAAGGGGACGACTGGAAGTTATACAGTATAATAATATACTCGTGACTTAAAAACTGGTAAAGTTACCATATTTTCACTTTGATTTCGAAGAAGATGAAACGATGGAGATGAGGCGATCTAGCTCCTCTGATCTTCCAAACCTGAGCTCCATTGCGGGAGGAGGGGGGAGGGCAGATTTTTCTGAATCAGTGTGACAGTAAGTGAGCTGAGCTGCACTATAGAGGCTGCCACCTGATTGCTGAGTTAGAAAGCTGTGACTCCAATGAGAGAGTATGTGTGTAAGCACGAAGGTGTTGGCCCATGCCCGATCAGGGCACATGCCCAGGTTGCAGGCTTGATCCCCAGTAGGGGGTATGTAGAAGGCAGTTGATCAATGATTTCCCCTCATTGTTGATGTTTTTATCTCTCTCTCCCTCTCCCTTCCTCTCTTAAATCAAAATCAATAAGATGCTCAGAGCATTTTATCCAGTCTGTAAAGTCCAGTCAAGGCAGTCAATGAGCACACAGCAGTTTCCAATATCGGCAGAGAAAAGAGTGAATGGAACATAGCATCTGGTGCAATTGGATTTGTGGGTTTGGCAGACAGCGGGATGGGCTGGAGAGAGGGATCCTTCCAGAGATACTGAAATGGTGATGACAGCCCCTGTTTTTGTGTCCTCAGGTCAATGGCACCGACTTTCCCTTCCGAAGTGCTGGTGTCCTTCTCCTCATTGTGGATGCCTGCAGCGTTCCCTTCCGGTTGACGGAAAAGAAGTTTTTCCCTCTTGCTGATGTCAGCCTCGTGGGGGTGTATTTAAAAACAGGCATCCCTCCGAGGTAGGTGAGACTTGCTCCACAGAGGGACAGTCACATGATCGGTGACACCTGGTTCACCCTGAGCTTTGGTTTGTTGACCTGCCCATATAACTGTGGGCATTTCGGACTCTTGAAAGGTTTTTATTCCTTTCTCATCTGTGTGGTCTGAGCTGCTTGTCATTGTAAACCTCGCTTCTCAGTAGCGGCAGTTAGCCTGCCTGGTGTGGCTCAGTGGGTTGACCTATGACCCAGGAGGTCACGGTTTGATTCCTGGTCAGGGCACATGCCTGGGTTGCAGGTTCGATCTCCAGTGTGAGGCTCTCTCGTCATTGATGTTTCTATCTCTCCTTCTTCCTTCTTCTATGAAATAAAAGACAAAAATAATGGGAGCTTGGATGTTAGAAGAGTTTTCAGATGGTGAAAAGGTTTGTATAAGGAAAAAAGCTCAATATACAGACAAATACTCTCTATGTTTTAGTAATACATTTATCTACATTGCATCCGACTCACTCAGAAAACTCATAATCATTTAAAAACATTTAAAAAAAATCCTCACGGGGAATACTTTTTCTATTGATTTTTTTAGGCAGGGTGGGAAGGAGGGAGGAAGCAGAGAGAGAGAGAAAGAGAGGCATTGATATGAGAAAGACACATTGATTGGTTGCCTCCCCCCCACACCTCAACTGGGGCCAGGGATCGAGCCTGCAACCAAGATAGGTGCCCTTGACTGGAAATCGAACCCTCTACCCTTGTGTCCAAGGGCCCGTGCTCTAACCACTGAGCAACTCGCTGGGGCTTAAAACATTTTTTTTTTAATACATTTTATTGATTTTGTACAGAGAGGAAGGGAGAGAGATAGAGAGTTAGAAATATCGATGAAAGAGAGTCATCGATCAGCTGCCTCTTGCACACCCCCTACTGGGGATGTGCCCGCAACCAAGGTACATGCCTTTGACCGGAATCGAACCCGGGACCTTTCAATCCCCAAGCCGACCGCTCTATCCATTGAGCCAAACCGGTTTTGGCTTAAAACAATTTTTATAGACAGTTTTACCTTAGCAGCCCTCTGTGCCTGTGATGGAACCTCAGACAGCAACATGCGGTGACTGTGGCAGATGAACTCATCACTTGGAAGTGACTAGAAAAGAGTACTTTGATTTTTCAGTGGATGAGTATGTGGGGTCTCTTTTCAGAGCCCTAGTCTAATTAGTTCTTCTTTGTTGAATTTCTGAAGAAAGGTGCTCGGGAGAGAAACCTTTCCTTTTCTGAGTTGGTCAGATGCTGCCTGGAGGCCAGGAGAGGAGATCAGGCCCCTCCCTGCCCCCTGGGCTTCACTGCAGATATGGATTTATCATCAGCCTTCATTTAGGGAAGCACATTCGCTTCCCGGGATTAAAGGCCCTCCAACGTTAGGCTCCTCCTCCATTGTTCTCATCATATGTGCTCTTCACACATCACAGAACCAGAGCTCAGTAAGTCCCATAAATCACTGGGTTATTTGAGTGTCGTTTCCAATGTGCCCATATGGCTCTATCTAGCTTAAGACACTTGTAGGGAATTCCTTTCCCAGGCCTCTGTTTCCTTTAAGGATTTAAAGATTTTTCCTAATGATGAAAGGACATGCACACGCACTTATTCCACCTAAAACAATCTAGTACATAAGTCTCACCAGAGATATTTAGGACAACATAGTAAGTCCTGTAAGTCACCCTACAGATTTACGAGTTACAGCCAACTCATTAAAATGTTAGGAAGTTGTTATTAGGAAGGCTTCTGAGCTACTTGTAGTGCTGTTTCTTGATCTGCTGGTTACACGAGTATGTTTGGTTTGCAAAAGTTGAATGTGCTGCACCCTTAGGAATACTATTCTGTGGATACGTTGTCTCTAAACAAAGTGTTAGGAAGTTATGGTGCAACTGGCAGTGACTTCTAGTGACACTGGGTAGGTGTGGGGTGCAGGTGGGTGAGGGGACCTGCAGGTGATAGCATGGGAGCAGCCTGAGTCACTGTGACCATTAAAGAAGGTCAGGCCAGGGGGTTGCTATGATCAGACCTTTGGTCTGATTCTGGGCTTAGTCACTACTGCTGTTAGAAAGGCTTTAACAAAACCTAACACCAATGTGAAACTTAGGAATCTTAATAAGAAATGTCAAGACCCATATTAATAAAATAAATGCTTTACTATAAGATATAGAAGAGATGACTAGAAGGAGAAACATTCTCTTTTTCTGGATGGAAATAGTGTGTGGATTCATTCTAACTAAATTAGAGATTTAATGCATTTTCATTAGTCCCAGTTGGTCACTTTTCCATTGTATTTCACATATGACAGTGCGGTTCATCAGGGAGACTCAATGTGGGAGAGCAATAAAATACAAATTATGTTAATACAAGGGGCTTATTGTATATTAAAATTAACCATGAAGTCATATGATTAAGCTAGTGTGGTATTGGCAGAGGAGAGATCAGGAGAAGAGAGGATCCACAAACACATTTGAATATTTGTGTTGATATACTGCATAATAAAGACAAAAATTTAAACCAAACCATGGGGAACAGATTTTATTTATTTATTTATTTTTAATTTGTGTTCATTTATTTACTTAATAAATAGATAAAAAGAGCATCTGAAACAAACAAAACTAATTTCCCCTGTAACAATGGTTTTTTCCATAAAAGGTCTTTGTCCCAAGCATCCACTAGGTCGGCTGACCTAAAATAACTTGTTTTCCCTACAATTAGAGACCTCTTGTAATAGTAACATAGGTCGTAGGTGGGGCAGGGAACTTGTAATAGCAGGAATGAAAAAACATCTGGGTTCTTTCTGTTTCATTTTGAGTTCTGCTTTTATCTAGTATTTTTATTCTCTACTGCACCCAATTTTCAACTGGTGTGCCACAAGAATTTTTAAAGTGTGCTTTATTAACTATTGAGTTAGGGACACAACCTCTTTTCCCTTTGATTGTCAAATGCAAAAATGACAATAGCCAATAGAACAATAGCCATCCTGTGTGAATAATCAAATTTAATACTTTTTTTTTTTTTTTTGCCTGATCAGCAACAGATATATTTTTTGGTGTTTCACAGAATTTTAGTCATTAGTATTTGTGTGCCATGAAGTGAAAAGGTTAGGAATCACTGCTCTACTGTATATATACTTCATATACGGAACCCAGCAAATACATGCAGAATTATTGAAATTTGCTCTGACTTTCCTAACTTTTACATACAGGTCCGTTGTTCTATTGAGCACAAGAGGAGAAATAAAGCAGTTGAATATTTCAGATTCATTAATACCTCTGGGATTAGCCAAACCAGCTCATCTTTCCAACAAAGGTTTGTGTTTGTATTCTTCTACAAAGTTCCTAGTTCACATTTGTTATGGTGAAATGCAGCTACCAGGCTGTTTTCATGAGCTTATTTTGCTCATGTATCATGAAGATGCTTTCTAAATAAGGAGATTGTGTTAGAGGAAGTGTGCTGGGATGTGGTTTGTTATTCGGGACACAAGCTGGGTGGTAAGAGTTCATTTGCTGAGTAAGGAGGTGTAGGTTTTTTTTTTTTTTTTATAGCCGTCTTTGTTTTGCTCACCTCCAACATTATGTTGCCTAGAACAAGGAGTTGTACAAATTGAACTTTTCTGTGTGTTTTTAGGGAGCACCATATTTTTGGGATTCAGTGGAAACTCTAAACCATCATGGACTAAGCTATTTACCAGTCCTGCCGGCCAGGGCCTTGGGCTGCTGGAACAGTTCATCCCTTTGCAGCTGGAGCAATATGGTTGTCCCAGGATCGGCGCTGTCCGCAGGAGAGACCTGGAGCTGTTAAAGCAAACTTCAAAAGCACATTAGAGACTAACTGTAACTTAAGTGCTGGGGGAGAAAAATGTGAACTAACTTATTTAATTTATGGCATTTTAAAATGACACTGTTAACCCAACGGAACCATTTTCCTGTTTGATACAGAGAGGGGGAGAAAAGAAAAGAGTTTAACGTGATTGCTTGAATACCAGCTCATGCACCTTGTAGTTGTACAGAATGTTAAGAATGTATTTGTATTTGTTAGGCTGGTATACGTAGAGAACAGTTCTCTTAGTCCTCACCTTCCACCCCTGTGTTTTGTAGTGACCGTAGGCAGTGCTTCCTTCATCCGTCACATAATGGGAAGTCGTGGGGTGGGGTGGGGTTGGGTGCCGTGAGGGCTTCTGAGAATCAGCCCGAGTCCCCTAGAGGACCGGCTCTTGTAGCACCTTGGATACTTGAAGTCTAATGCTGAGTTGTGTCATTGACTTTGGGTCAGCAGCTGACATGTGTGGCTGGCATGTTCAGTGATGCCTTGGGCCCTGGTTCTGGGCAGCCTTTGAGGATTTTCTATGATACTGAATGATAGAACTTTCAGTGGCAACTCAGGCCCAGCTCATGCCCATTTTTTGCCTGGACATGTGCTATTTTTATTCAGTTGTGTCTCGATTCCTTCTAAGGGTTCAACTTCCCGACAGGAAGTAATACATTGGGACAGAGGGCTTTTAGGGACTAGACATCCCTTTAATCTGTGACCATTGGGCAAAAATCTGACCTACACCGAGGTCTCTTGGGACCATTTTTTTGCAGCTTTAATCCTTTAACCGTTTGGACTGTATATTTGTGTTTAAAATGCAGACCTGAGCTGAATATTTACTTACTTTTTTTTTTTTTTTTTTTTTTTTTTTTTTTTTTTTTTTTTTAAGAAGAAGCAGGCTGTTTTCCTGAACTGTAAACTCAAGTCATTTCAACTTGCACAAAGGAAGTCTGTTCGTAGAGTTGCTCCTGCACCCAGGTTTTTTGCTGTTTTTGTAGATTTTTTTTTTAAAGCTTTTCTGCTCACCATCCTGCCAAGAAAACGGCAGAAAGCGTAACGATGCCCCAAAATATTGTACTCAGGGGGGAGGGAAAGGGGAGCGCCTTTTCAGGATCAGATCGTAGAGGGGACGTGCAGAAACGAATGGCTTCATGGTCAGTCATCTTTATTAAATGGTTAGAGCCGGTTTTAAAAAGGTGCCACGGGGCCCTCTTGGCCTTCTGCTGGCTGCATGCATCTCCTGCCCACGACGATTGCCTGAGGCAAAAGGACATGCGCTCCTGGCCCGGGACACCACCACCCTGAGAGTAAAGAAGCATCAGAATGTCTTTACCTCCTCCTAAACCCCCAATGCATGCAGCGAAGTGGAGGAATGGCCACAGCGAGATCGTAGGGAGTGTGTTCAGGCCGAGGGTGTGTGTTCAGGCCGACGCTGGCCCTGAGTGCAGACAAATTCACGCTCCTCTTCCAGGAGCCTCAGCATTTGGCCCATCTCTTGTGTCCAGGAGAGACTGCAGAGCAGCTCTGTGACTTCTGTTACTTTATGACACATGCTACCTCAAAGCGCTACCGAGAAACCTTTCTAACTGTAAGTGCTCTTCCCGAGGGCACGCGTCTTAATCAATGTGTAGGGGGGTTTTGTGTGTCTGTCTGTTTTGTACATTGATGAGTGAGGTCTTACCTATTAAATATATTATTGGATCATGGTTCCTGACGGGGATTAGCTTGAGTGTGTGTGTGTGTGTCTGTGTGTTTTATGACTTAAATATTTGTGTGTGTGTGTCTTTTAGAGTTTGGCTCTTTAAAGATTTGGAGAGAATATGTAATATAGTTCTAAGGCACTCAGTTTTTCTGATTTATATGCTAATTATCGGGCCCTAAGTTAAATAAATAAAAATATGTGTGCATGTATTTTTTTTTTTCCGAGTGTGTGTGGCTATGTATCTAGCAACCAGTCAACCAATCTGTCATTCTTAAATGCCATATTTCAGCTGTAAAGAAGTTAACAGGCAGAAACGAGAAAGGGGAAACTGTCCACTAAGTAAGTATTGCCAAGCTAAGCTTCAGAAGGGTAGGGATTATTCTCCAGGGCAGAGGCCTTGGCTGCACCTTGGAATCACTTGGGAGCTTTGAACATGTGGAGCCCTGGGTCTCATCCCCTCCCCAACCCCTACATTTAGATTTGATCGGTATGGAGTGCAATCTGGACACTGGAATTTTTTTAAAGCTCCCTGAGCGGTTCTAGCATGCAGCCAGGTTTAGGAACCACTGCACTAATATAATAGGGCCACTGTTTAACTCCAGTCTGCAATTTTTTGTGACAAAAACAAAATTCCATTTATTATTTTTATTTGCAATTCTTACGTTTTAGAACTCATCGTCCATCCTAAACAAAGCATTTTACTGTTCTCTTCTTTTAATAGAACTTTTCAATGCAGTTTTTAGTCCTTATCTCCAATTGTTAAATTGGGCATCTGAAGTTATAGACACATTTAGAGCACCGGGAGCTAAGCAATCTGTTTTATTACTACTGAGAAAATAGATTCAGAGGTCATTTATAAGTTCATAAGCGTTTTCCATCAATTGAGGCAATTGGTTGAGCTCCAGAAATGTGGCCATCCACCCTTCAGCCAGCTGATGGGAGACACAGGGCCTCCTCATAAGTCAGCAACTCAGGTTTTACATCTTTGCTATGAGATGCCTGCCCCGCCGCCGGAACCAGCGCGCTGTCTGTTGCCAGCTGAGGCTGGAAGAGTGCTTATGGGAAGATGAAAGGCAGATACAGTCTCGTAGAAGATGACTCCAAAGCAACTGCTAAGCTGATGTTTAGACAGGGAGGGGAGGGGTTATTTATGACTCCTCTGTTCTCCAGCTCCATCAGGAGAGAACACATCCTCAAGCCATTAAATGGATTAGTTTGTTTGAGGAGGGGTGGGCAAGGAGGTGATGGATAGAGGCTTGAATATTTCAGATAACTAGGTGTTTATTCCTTAAGAGATGAGGTAATGTTTGGATAAGTCCAGTTGAAAGGCTGTTCAGTGAGCAGGAATGCTCTTAGTTAATGGCAAGTGTTCTTTTTCCCCAGTTGATCCTAAGTAGTTAAGTATTTAGATTTCCATCATGATAATGTTTGTTGTTTCCATGATGCAGACTTGGAGTTTATCCTCCAGAATCCTTGTTTGGGTTTCAGATACTTATGGAGCCATGTTTAATAAGGAAAAATTCCCCTAGAGGTGTAGACTGAGTGGGGATAATTGGGTAACAGATTTGCATCATTACTGTTAGTCTTAACTTGGTAATGGCCCAGTCTGCTGGAAATGTGAGCTGACACGCTGGGCTGGAACAAATTTTCAACGTAAGGTCAGGGAGAAGAAAAACTCAAGGACAGGCACCCTCAGTTCCCTGTTCGCAAATAACGTGTTCACATTTTATGGGATCACTGGAGTCATTGGGAAGGTAGAGGTTTTTTTTACCCTCATTTATCTTCAATCTGAGAGAGAAGCTGAAAAAAGGATGCTAATTAGGCCCTGGGGTTGTGGGGAAGGGCACTCACACTTTTTTTTTTTATGTGATAAAATTCGAGAATGACCAAACTATGAAGATTCATAAGTGAGGAACTATGCCCCACAGGGCATCCAAAAGCATCAGCCAAAGCAAGTAAGAAAAAGGTTCTATCTGAAAATATAACAAGGAGGTCAGAAAACAACTTCAAAGATTTGCTCCCTGTCCCTCTCTACCCCCTCTCAGATAGACAGTGTGATTACTCTGGGTATGAAAAGCACTAACAAATTTAAGGTTCATCCTCAGGAAAAAGCTCAGACCTGATGACAATAGTTGACTCTCAGGGTTTGCCAGACTTACCCATGTAGGCCAGACCTGTCCCCCTGACTGGTTTCGTACCAGTTCTGAACTAAGAACGGTATTTTACATCGTTAACTACAACATGTTGGAAAAAGTCAAGAAGAGGAGGAATTTATGATGTGAAAATTGTGTCCATGAATGAAGTCGCACTGGAAGGGAGCCACACTCATTTGCTCACATGTTGACCCACTTGCATATTTAATGGCAGATTTGAGCCGTTGCCACAGAGACTACATGTATGGCCTGCAGAGCCAGAAATATTTCCTATGTGTTCCGTTACTGAAAAAGTTGGCTGACCCTTGGTCTCCCTGAAGGGTATACTGGTGTTCATTGTACTGCTCTTGGGGCTTTCCTAAGGTTTGAGAGTTTTTTAAAATAAAAGGTTTAGAGGGGGAAAAACACACAAAAAACTTGCATCAGAATCTCCTGAGGTGCTTATTGAAAATGCAGAATCCCAAACCCTGGTTCAGATGGAAGAATTGGCATTTCTGGGAGCTGGCGCTGGCAATATGATTTTATAATGAGCTCCTTCCGTGGGTCTCAGAAGCATTCAAGTTTGAGAACCCCATAGAGGGGAGCCCCATTATTTCCTCCTGATAGGTGAGTGCATCTGAGTAAATCTGAACGTTGGGTTTTTAACCCTGATGGCTCCATTCTACATCATCTTCCCCCAAACTCTTTGTGAATTAATGCAGGGCAGGTCCTATGCACAGCACAGTATGTGGCCATTCCTGGGGCAAAGGCTTAGAGCCCTGTAGTAAAGTCCTCTCTCCACTGAGTGTGAAATTGTCACTGTTGTAATGATTCCATTAGTGACAGTTATCTCTACAATAGGATCCCAGCCATCCTTTGTTTTCTGCAAGTTCTTTTTATCATTTTAAGGAGTTTAAAGGGAAATATGTACATATAACCCCAAACAGGCTGTGCAGACTAACAAAAAAAAGTTTCTTTGCATTTGAATGGACCCGTGTCCACCTTAATTATGCCCCATGTATCAAAGCACTGATTGGTAATTACAGATCTTTTTTAAGGTAGGATGATTTATTTCATACAAGCAGTTTTTGAATACATGAACTTCATGGCAGCGGTGGGAGGTGGTTGGATGGCCTTGGGGGATGATAAAATTGGTCTTTGCCACCAGGAAAGAAGGTGG